CTTCTGGGTGTCCCACATGGGTGGAAGGATGCTAAGTACTTGGGTCATCATCTGCTGCCTCCCAAGTGCATTAGCAGGAGGCTGGATCAGAAGTGCAAAGTCATTGGCACTCAAATCAGGCACTCGATCGGGAATGTGACCATTGCAAGCAACAGCTTAACCCACTGTACCATAACTCCTGCTTCCATAATTTTTTTATAGTGAAAAATATATGAACATAGAGCAAAATTATCAAGGGTGTAAAAAGTTATGAACTTTTGTCATTTAGTGAAATTAGACAAGGATTTTAAAGAAAAATATTATTCTTATTAAAATCTTAAATCTCCCCCAAATTAATTTTAAAAATTTAATTTTAAATTAGTTTTTAACGGATTAAGTATGTTTTTTAGAAACAATTCTAAAAATATGATAGTCTTTTCTTCCTCCTCTCTCCCTTCCATCCTTCTTCATTCTCCCTTTCTTTCAAGAGCAATAGTAAAATCAAATTTGAAAAACAGGATTCAGGGGACTTTGAACACGGCTGTTGAGACACTGCTTGAAACACCCACATGCCCTATCAGTGCCCAGATGCAAGTCCTAGCTCTGCTCTCCATTCAAGCCTCTAATGTGCAACCTGGAAGGCACCAGGTGGCAGCTCAAGTAGCTGCGTTCCGGCCACCAATTAGGAGACCAGGATGGAGTTTCGGGCTCCTGGCTTCAGACTGGCCTGCCCTGACTGTTGCAGGCATTTGGGTAGTGAAATAATGGATGGGAGATCTGTCTGTCTATCTAACTCTGTCTCTCTGCCTTTCAAATTAAATGAAAATAAATATTTTACAACCAGCCTCCAGGTGGAATGAAAGGATTACCTCACATTGTTTCTTTTTGGCATTCTAACAGTGGATCTTTTCCATGGCCTCTTCCAGTTCTAATACACTGAGATGTATTTTATGCTTCTACGGTTTCTGCCATGTTTATGATTTCTAGTAAACATCTTCCTTTCTTCTCCAATCATTGTAATGAAAAGAGTAAATGCAAATGTCTGACGCTGAACGATTCTATGAAGTTACAAGTTGGAAACCTTCTGTTTTCAGAGAGTTCTAACCTGGAAGCATTCTTAAATGTTACTAGAACATCATAAAATAAGGATAGAGGACACAGATCAGAAAGGTTTACTCTGTGAACCGGAAATGAACTTTGGATCTTTTTTTCTCCTTCTAACAATACAGCTGTGGCTAATGGTCAACAACCGTTGGACTCAGTACCATCGCCCATTGCCTTGTCCCCACCTTCCCCACACAGCCACACAGGAAAGCAGCCAGGATTCTCTATATATGTTTTATTTGTAAATCCACATTGCTCAGCTTAGAGACACCTATATTCTGTAGAGGAATTTCTTTTGCTCTCTTACGGTATTTAGATTGGCCAAAAACCAGGGGAAAATGTCCTGAGACCGCAGCCAGGGTAAAGTTTACCAGATGCTGATGAGCACATTCACCTATGTGATAAGCCCTCAGCAGGAAGTGTAGCCAACACATTCAGTTTCAAAGTTCAACTGCCAATTCCTCGGACAGATAAGGGCACTTTCATAGTATAGGGCAGGAAGGATATTATGGCTAAAAATAAAAACGTCAAGGGGGGAGGGGTTGTTGTGTGTCTGGAAATAATCTGGCCCAGAACAAGAGGTGGTCTCTGCTCCATACCTATCTTATTTCTTCATACAGAACCTAGCCACTGCCATTGCCCTCACAGTCCTGTTTATTTATTTACATTCACATGAAAAGCAGACAGAGAGACAGCTTCCATTTGTGGGTTCTATTACAGTGGAACTGGGCCATTAAATACACCATTTTATATAAAGGACTTGAACATCACTGGATTCCTGGTATTCATGGAGCTGTGAAATGTTACCTGCAGATATCAAGAAACACTGAATGGTTGTGTCAATTTACATTCAATTTGGATATCAGTCACATGTTTTAAAATCATGAAGTGGCAAAAGGAGAGATCTCTCTCAAGACAGGAAGAGGAAAAAAGGAATACTGTTTAAGAGCAATGAAAAAAAGTCAAGCAGAAGCAGATTTTGATGCTCTTTCCTGAAAGAGTCCGTGTAACGAATGTCAATCTGACATTTCCTTTAACAACAGGTTATTACAACAAAGCAAGAAAGTGAAGTGGTTGTGCATTACAAGGTAGTCAGAGTGACATTTGGGGAAAATGTTGGAAATAGTTATAATGGGAAAATGCAAACAAAAAAACCTAAAAACAATGCATCTCAGGAATATTAGAATGTCTCTTCTTTACCTTATTCAACTGGAGATCTCCAAATTCATCCTCCAAGTCTTAGCCCAAAAGCTAACAAGTGGGTATGGATACCCTCTGTGTCTCCCCTCTCACGGCCTCACTCTAGCAAGTACCACTCTTCAGGGATTATTTACATTTCTGCTGCCTCTTTTCCCTTGCTGATACTGTAGGGATTGTAACTTGTTCTTCTCTGTAAGGAATGGGCATCTACTCATTTAATTAAGCTCTGCTAATATGCTTTGAGTCAACAATGTTTTGTACTGCTATATAAAAATCAGTGAGATACTTCTATAAAGATGGAATAGATATCCTTCTGTTACATGAAGACAAAAAGATTGGATATTACAAACTAAACCAACATAGGAAGATTCCAAACAATGGACAGAAGACAAAAGACAGATTAGGAACCTGGAGACACAAGGAACAACCCTGTGATGAGTTCCCTGAGATTCTTTTCAGCTCATATATCTCAGACATAGAACTGAAAAAGCCTGCCATCTATAAACACCAACAAGTGCAGGCAAGAAAAATAAAAGCCCAAGACAGGCCTGCTCTCTCCAGTAAAAGGACCGGAAAAGGAGCAGCATAGCAAGACAAAACAAATACTCTCTACTCAAACCAAACACCATGAAATGGAAGTGGCCCCACACACACCAGCAAAGGCTGAGTGCAGAGCCTAGACTTCCAACCTTGCCAGGCTGTAAACAGGGGTCCCTGACAGGGTGATGTCAGAGAAGGTTGGGTAGAGAAGCAGGAATTCCATCCCCACCTGTGATAATGAAGTCCTTCTTGCCTCCCCAACCCATAGCATCAGTAGAGTTCACGTGGGAGTATTAACAAGATGCCACATATTTAAATCCCAATCATGGAGGCATCAACAGAAGCCTAATGGGGAGACAAATCCCTACCGAGCTGAGCGGCAACAAGGTCCCTTCTTATCTCAAGACTAGTAGGGAACTTGGACACTTGGTAGTCGTGAGGCAGTAACTCTCTAAAATCCCTCTTACCGTGCTATCAGAGAGAGTCAGCAACAGCATGTTTATATCAGGTCCATAATCTCACAACACTGAAAATATCCAGGATTCAAATAAAAATCTCTCATCACACAAAGTAGGAAAATGTTTTTGAATGAAAAAAGACCAGGTGTAGATGCAAACACTGACATGATACACAAGGTGAAATTATCTATCAGGGTTTTACAAGAGCCATCATAAAACGCTTCAACAGGGAACTGCAAGCACACCTGAAACACATGAAAACATGGAGAGTCTCAGCAAAGAGACAGAAAGTCTTGGCAAAGAGACAGAAACTCTGAGTAAAAAGAACATATGAAAAGGAGCCAATCAGAAATCCTAGAAATAAAAGCCATCATAACTAAAATACAAAAATCAACGGATGGGCTCAACAGCAGAATGAACTAGAGGAAACGATCATTAAACATGAAGACAGAACAGTATACATTACCCAATCTGAACAACAGAGGGAAAACTGACTGAAAGTCTCACAGCCTCAGGACACTGTGGAACTAAAAACCGAAACCAATGACATGTTCCAGGTTAGGCTGTAAACTGTACTGTCTAAAAGTCTTTGTGGTTGGTCCCTAGGCTGCTGAATCAGGTTTATCATAAAGCCATTAAAAAAAAAAAAAAAAACACCTTGGGTATACTAATAGCTACATTGGACCCAGATAATCTGAAAATTAATGTGGTCTTTGAAGGTTCAAGGCTGGAATGAAAGGATACACTAAATGCAATAGGGAAATCAAGCGTGTGTTGCTTGTCACGTTCATGGAGAAGATAAGTGGTTAGTAGCATGATCTCTTCAACTTTATGGGACTCCAAAATGAGTACCTCAGCTCAGTATAGCTCTGCTGCTGGTGGGGTCGTTCGTATGCACAGAGGAAAAACATTTCAAGCATCTCAATGAAAATTTCCACTTTGTATGTGCTGACAAGTTTCTGACACAATTTTATCTGTCTAAAAAAATCTAGATTAGAGATATTTTCAATCTATATTAAATACCATTAAGCAGGATGGGAATACTTCTCTTTTTGTGCAAATATGGTCTAAAATTTTATACTAAATAGATACATTCAACTCACAGTCTCCTTAAATTTAACACGTCAGAGCTTTAAATCTGGAGAAATTCAATCACAATTTTAAAAATGTTACATGGAATTAATAAGTTAGTCTTGAGAGAATAGAAAAAGTAAAAAAAAATCTCAAATATTTAGATTTGCATTAACTCTCTTTCTTCTTCTTGTTCTGTTTTGTAATTATCAAAACTAAAATAAGTGAATTCAGAGCCATTTTCTTGCAAAGATACTAACACAACATAAACTATTTGAATCCTGTTAATTAGCCTAGTGATTTTCAATACCACAAGGCATATATTCAAATATCTGGTGTCCAGATGGTGTTCATGGCTACTTCTTCCTTACGAGAAGTAGAAGAATTTTAGGTATGGTCTCTCTTTATTCCCCAGAACTTGAACGATGCTTACAATTCTTACACATTCAAACATGTGTGAGACTCCTTAGCAACATTCTCCTACTGCTGTGTTGAGTCACAAGTTTCCCTGAGATGTCGTATCACAGAGGGCTCCCGGTTCTAACTCTGGTGACAGTGTCCGAGCAATATAATAGTGTGGACAGAGGACTGTATAAAATATAAGGTTCTCTCAAAATGATTTACGGTATGTTTTTGGAGTAAAAAATATCAGTCTTCTTGGCTGACGGTTGGCAAATGTGTTTTCAGTTTTAAAATGTCTGAAACTGGCTCTTTCCTTTCTTGATAGAAGCTGAGTCCAGTGATGTGTTCAACATCCATGATCCGAGCTCTGTGCATCATTAACAACTCTTCAATCCATGAGGACTCACGCTTCTCGTGCTACGAGAATGGGAAATAAAGAAGAAACGTCACCAGAGAACAGTCAGTTCACCTCCCCTTTAAGCTCTCTGACTCCCCAGCGTAACCAGTTATTACAGGTAGGTGCCGAAGTGGCAGATGTCACAAGATTTGTTAGGCACAATCCCTGCCATGTGTGTGTGCGTGAGCATGCAGGCTTAATTACAGGTATCATATTTGGGGAAAAGAAAGCAAACCTGGGATATGTACTGTGGAGGTACAAGAAACTTCAACAGAGAGAGGTTAAAAATATAGGAAAATAGAAAACACATGGCACAGGAGAAAGAATGTAAGAATTAACATTGGGACTAAAACCCCACTTCTATACTAGCCTATCAGGTAAACTAGGGCAATCATTAACATCTGGATCTTGAGTTCCTTTACCCATATCTTCCTCTATAGGATTGTTTTGAGGATCAAATGTCATGATTCATGCAAATGTACGACAAAACACTAGTTCTTACAAGAACGCATTGTCTACATGGTTGGATGAGGAATGGAGTTGGAGGAAGTGGTGAAACATCGTTTCATTTTGGTGGCCGAGTCAAGTATAAATTGTTAGGGGATTAGAAAAGAATCGAAGGCAGACATACTGGCAAATGGAAGCTATGGTTGTAGTTGATGCATGTAATATAAATGGAAATCAAAATTCCATGTGTTAATATAAGCCTTTCTGAAAATGAACCCCGGAAGATGTTAAATGAAGAAAGTATCCACTAACTGGTGGATGATGACTGTAATTTAAGGATATTCTTCCAATAAAAGTTCATATACTCTACTCTTGGAGCACTGTTAGTTGGAAATGATAAATATAGAATTTTCACATATGAAACACACAACCTCAATTTCCCATTAGCCTCTCATCATCAATATTTAGTCTCCCTCTCTATAGAAATCCAAACTCTGGCTGTAAAGGAACCAGCCCTGACTCAGAAGACTCTCTGATCACTAGATATCTGCCATCTGTCCCAGCAATGATAGGACTAGATGACAGGTACATGCAAGGCATTGTTCTCTCAGGCTGGAATCCAACTAATCCTTAGTAACTACTTCAGAGATAGAATAGAAAGAATCAATATGTATGACATAACTTAAATAATCCTCTCTGGTTCAAGTCCAATGCCTAGTATCATCTAGATACACTGAAATTACAGAATTTGATAAAAATTATTTCATTTAAGACAGTGGTATAACAGCTTTTGGAATGGTAACTCACGGCACTCAGCACCACTCAGCCAATGCGATGTAAGCATAAGCTTGTGGCTGCCTTGTTTTTCTGGATTAGGGGAATAAGATTCAGACGTGGTATCTAGAGATGCAGAAGCCATGGCCAAAGCCACATGCTCAAAATGGGGAGAAACAAGATAGGAAAGGTCTGGGTTCCTAGCAGTGCCCCCCGGCCCAAAGCAACTACATCCCGCTGGACTTCCTGTCACACAAAGACCCCCCTAACTTGTGTAAGTCACTATAACTCGGCTTCTATTTGCCACAAAACACAGCCTTAACTGATAAACTTACTGACTACTTGATCTCTCAAGGAAAAGAAGGTAATGAAGAGAGCAGCACTTGTATGTCCATGAAAGTCCACAACACTGACCCTGCAGCAGAGCTAGATACCTGGCAGGCAGCTAAACTGACCAAAAGCTAAAGTCCAGAGAGTTAATGTCCTACTACTCTACACCTAATTCTGAACAATAAGGGAAAACTAACTTAATGAGAAGTGTGTTCTATGAGGAAGAGTCTAACAATTCTGAAAGTTTATCATAGGAATGATGAAGGCAAGACATATCTTCACCACTCTCATGATGGACATGCAGACTGCAAGATGAGAGATGGCAAAGGGGATCACCGTATTCCACTCTCCATTCCTGGGCTCATGGAAGAGATCACTGTTCTGTTTACTGCCAGTACCTAGGGCTCCTGGCAACAAACATTTGTTAAGGAATGAGAAGCTGAATCAAAGAAGTGATGAGTGAGTGAGCCAACGCTGCACGCTCCTGCCACGCTCAGGGTGAGCCTCAAAATCCTTTTGACCACACAACTCCAGGTATCCACCATCAACCACTGAGTCTGCTATGAAGGCCAAATATTTTTGCTGACTCAGGTCTAGACTGACTGTGTAATTTCAGTCGGAAAACAAAACAAAACGCAAACAAAAAAACTAGGCTATGTGGGAAATACTCTGAAAGAAAAACATTTTGGCTCACCCTAAGAGAAGACTTAAAAATAGCTAGTTTTATGCAGCCTTGATTTCAAATATTTAATTTAGGGTCTTAAAATTTTGAGCAAATAAGATAATATAAAACAACTCTTTGCAAATAAACATTGGAATAATGAAAGAATAAGAAAGGAGATATTTATAACACAGTGGCAGGAAATGAACTTGAAATATTGCCTTACCACAAACTTTAAAACTAATTTATTACAGTGCTGACACTTTGAGAATTATAAATCCAGTTTTGAAATGAGAAAAAAACTCGTAGTTCAAATAAACTTAAAATTTTGTGGCTATGTCATACCAAGTTTCAATTCAATCTGATTTTTAGTGTCTTTAACAGATTCATCCAAATATATGTTATCTTAGAGTATCAAATTTAAAAAACTAATCCATAATTTCATAGTCTATGCATATTCAAGAGTAGCGTTTTCTCTAGCAGTAATGTCAGATATGACACATAGACAAATGCATATGTTTCATTTTCAATGTATTAGTTAAATTAACAAAGTCTACTTACCACACAGCTCTCAGTGTTATCGGACCTGTGGGGCAAGATGAAAGCTAAGGGATCCAAGTTGTCACACTGCAAGGGAGTCTGGGACGTGTTTTTACAACTTGTTATCACAATAAAGAAGTGAGTTGGAATTAGAATTTCTTGATTACGAATTACTCTTCTGTTTCTGTAAAATATACCAATATTCTCTTTAAGAAAGAAATAGCCATCTTCCTTTTAATGAACATTTCAGTAGAGAACATTTTTAACATAACACATCTAAATATAATCAATACGGAGCCAGTGTTGTTGTGCAGTGAGTTAAGCCACTGCTTGTGAAGCTGGCATCCCATATCGGAATGCCAGTTGAGGTCCCAGCCGCTCTGCTTCTGACCCAGCTCTCTCTGCTAATGTACTTACAAAGGCAGTGGAAAATGGCTCAAGTGTGTGGGGCCCGACCACCCATATGGGAGACCCAGATGAAGTTCCAGGCTCCTGGCTTTGGCCTGGACCAGCCCTGGCCATTGTGGCCATTTGGGAGAATGAATCAGTGAATGGAAGATCTCTCTGTGTCTCTCTGCCTTCGGAACAAATAAATATTTTTTTAAAAAATTAGTAAATAATTAAATATATTCTAAGAAGTTGGTCATCAAAATGCCTTAGCATATTCTGCCAGGTTGAGAATAATTACTAGAAATCCAAATAGTGTTCATTTTCTATAGAATTACTAAACTTTGAAATAATTTCAGTCTTTCCTAAAGATACTGGAATTGAGACACTGAATAAGTATTTCTGAACACCTACAAGACTCTTATTAATCATCCCAGATTGTCTGTAACTGCACAGAGTTTAAGACTAACAGGGAACAGGCAGAATGGATTGGGGATGTTTCACTCTAGCACTTTCAGTGAGGACAAGTCACTGTGAATTCTGCTTTAATTGGGTTTTCCTTCCTATCCCAAAATGTGATTTTAATTTTTAACTATTGCATATTAGCAAAGCTGTCTCAAAACACACGTTTGCCTCCTCATGATTCTATTTCTCTTGGTATTAAAGCTATGCTTGTTTTTTCAACACCTTTCAAAATTTAAGATATTGGGACCATTGTTTTCAGATGTGATCTTATGTGGAATCATAACATACAAAACAGAGGGAAGCATGTGAAATCTCTGCTTTATGCATTCTACAGCAAAGGCCTAGAAGGCAGGTATGTGGGACCTTTATGCCTCAAGGGATATAGTTAAAAATTGTAATTCTGCAAACTTAAGGGGTCACGAATCTATGTGTGTTAGCAGAAACCCCTAAGTTAGCCTGGAAGTGCAGGAAAGTTCTGAGAGAGGCTCTGAGAAGAGTTTTCAGTCTTTTTCTCACAGCCTTAATAGCAAAATTGCTTACAAAAATCTAGAATTGGGGCTTGTGCTGTGGCGTAGTGGGTAAAGATGCTAGCTGCAGTGGTGGCATCCCATAAGGGCACCAATTCAAGTCCTGGCTGCACCACTTCCAATCCAGCTCTCTGCTATGGCTTGGAGAAGCAGTGGAAGATGGACCAAATGCTTGGGCCCCTGCGTCCATGTGGGAGACCCAGAAGTTCCTGGCTCCTGACTTTGGACCGGCCCAGCTTCGGCCATTGCAGCCATTTGAGGCGTGAACCAGTGGATGAAAAACCTTGTATCTCTCTCTCTCTCTTTCTCTCTCTCTGCCTCTCTGTACCTCTGCCTTTCAAATAAATAATCTTTATTAAAAAATCTAGAATTATTGTCTTAATAACTATTAACCAGTTCCTAAAATGTTTTCCCCCTCCTTTTGCAAAACCAGCATCACTGCTCTCCTCAAGCAGAGTTGGGTAAAAGCTGTGACATTAACCCACGCCCACCAAATTTGAGGCACTATGGTTTATAACTTATTCTTTGCTTGACTCAGGATATCTGTAGTCACACAGTAGAGTTGTTCATCTTCTGACTGACACATTAATTAACCTAGTATCTCAACAATAGCCACACAGAGATCTTAAACACTGAGTCTGGCATCTAAGTTGAGCTCAAGAATTACTCAACTGAACTGAATGGGGAAGAACACTACTTCTTTAACCTAACGTAATCAGATATTTCAAATGGTTCCCAGCATAGTCAGGAACGCCATTCATACAGATATAAAAAGTACTGGTTAGGGGTGGATATTTAATCTATGGTTAAGACATCAGTTAGGACATCCTTCACAGGAGCCCCTGGCATCCCACATAGAAGCCTCTTGGTTCAATGCCCAGTTCCACTTGCTGACTCCAGCTTCCTGCTAATGCAGACTCTGGGATGCAGCAATGATGCCTCAAGCAATTGGGTGCCTGTGATATATGTGGGAGACCTGGATTGAATTCTCAGCTGCTAACTTCAGCCTCAACTCGGCCATTGCAAGGATTTGGAGAGAGAATCAGCAGATGGGCGCACTCACTACCTCTACCTCTCTCTCTCTTTCCCTCTCCCTCTTCTGTGTGTGTGTATCTTAAAAACAAATAAAAGTTTACAAAGTCTGGGTAGAAAAAGTTGTGCTGACTCAATCAGATGATAATCCCATTCCGTAGCTAATTTTCAGAGGCATGAGATGCGTTCTTACCGCTTCAGAGCCTCCGAGGAATCGTAACGTCCATCATAATCAGAGTCAAACACAGGACCACTGACGACATTGATGCTGTTCCTTTCCTCAGCATACCTCTGCAGCAGGGTGTCGTGAAAGTAGCGCCAGATCACTACAAGGAGGACAGACAACATGAACAAGGTACTGTGCTGTCACGCGAAACCAATCAGCATCATGACTCAAAATTAGTCTTTGCAATAACGAAAGAAAAAGTCAAGTTTGGCTTCTGTCTTAAAGTGAAGACAAAAATCCACGCTCAGCTCTGGCTTTGGAAGGACTCAGAAGCCAATGATGATGAGTTCGATTCTATTTCGGGCATCCCTGAACATGCGCCTCATGTGAAGTTATGGCCAAATGCCCTGATTAAGTATAACTACATCATAAACACAGACATCACATACTGACTGTGAACATCTGAGCTCCCTCTGAAATATTTCCAAGCATTCTCAGAACAAATCTCTTCAGAGGCTCTATATTTTGATATTATGCATATCAGTTTAATGATAAATGTATATTTATTCCTAGATAAATCAAATGTTGCAATAGTTAATTATGATATAAAATCTACTCATTTTAAAAACAAAAAAAAATTATGAGGAGTTTCCAAAGAGTTAACTAACATACTCACATACTAAAGCTAATAGACTATATTTTCTCAAAGCTAAACAAATATTCATGAATGTATTTGATACACAGCAATTTAATTTAAACCACACGTCCTTTCCATACAAATTACACCTAAGAGTTCTGAAATTATATTACAGAGTTAAAATGTGTTTACCTTGAAAACTCTGGTACATTGGGACGATATTAGAGGTAAGCAAAGCTTCAGAATAGATTTGACTTGAATCTTTACTTAGTTCTACAAATGGGAAAAAAAAAGAACTTCTTCATTCCTCATAAATAACATTAGAGGTTATAGTTTCTCAGAGTAGGAAGGGATATTTTCAAAAATTAGCTGAGTATTATCTTGAACTGTAAAACTTTCCCAATACTGGGTCAAGGGAAAAATGAAATGGATTTGGTCCAGTCCCTTAAAAAAATAAAATATGAAAAATTTCCTTCTTTAAGAAGAATCTGTCAAATAAACAAAAATTTTAGTAAAAAGGGCCCAAATGAAACAAACATCATATTTGCCTTACTTCAGCTGAAGTATTGTGTTGGTCATCTTCTTGTCCTTAAACTTTTCTATCGTGAAAAGGAAAAGGTGAATACTTGGCTTCAGAGCAACACCTACTGCCCAGAAAACATCACAGGATGTCTGCCTCGAAACGCTGCACAAGGCTTCTTTGTACAAATTTCAGGCTTGGACCTGGTCTATTTTCATAATGCAACAGCCAAGTTCTGACTTCAGATACTTACTCTGGGGCCTGGACTGGACGCTGTGGGTATGTGAGCGCCTGCAGCCTGCTGATTATTGCCTTTTATGGTTGGCCCCCAAAAGTCTTCTCATTAGCATATTAATTTGTCAATTCAAAAAAACAGAATACTTAGCTTCAAAAACATCATTCCCCAGAGGGCTTGGGTCAATGAAGAAAGCAAGTGGACGTAAAGCTCTACCTTTACCTAATTCTTGAACAAACCACATTTTCTTTAAAACACCAAAATAACAACTCCTTCCCAGGGACACTGAAGCTCTTTGCAACTCACTAACTTTCTCCAGTTCTGTTTAAAAGAAGGAGGTAAGAGAAAACACTGTTCTACCTACAGTGTCTGCACTGACATTATCCTCCAATCATCAACAAAGCTTTATAGGGACCAGCACTCTGGCACAGTGGGGTTAAGTCACTGCTTGGCATGCCCACATCCCACATTGCAGTGCTGGTTTGAGTCCCAGCTGTTGTGCTTCCAATCCAGCTTCCTGCTAATGTGCCTGGGAAGGTAGTGAATGACGGCTCAAGGTCTTGAGTCCCTCCCACTCACATGGGAGACCTGGATGGAGTTCCAGGCTCCTGGCTTCAGCATGGCCCTACCCTGGCTGCTGCAGGAATTTGGGAAGTAAATCAGCAGGCAGAAGATCTCTCTCTCTCACTCCCTTTGCTCTCCCTCTCTGTCAGTCTTTCAAATCAATAAATGTTTTTTAAAAACAAAAGTTTATTAAATTCAAGTATTAGATGCTTTCACTTCTCAATAGATCCTTTTGTAATTTCTGATTTCTACAAATAAATAGAAGAGTCTATGTCCATTGCCCCATAATGTATAGCAGCTTCATAAACAAGAAAACAGTAAGGATGAGGAGAAGGAAAGGCGATCTCATGGAGGGAGATACGTACGTGGTGGGGAGAGGAACCCGTAACTCAGTTTAGCATTATTTTTATAAAACGAACAGTTATGGATGGGACTGAAAGAAATCCGAAGGTCCTGGTAGAGACAATTAGAAAAGTCTTCCGTAGAGAAACTGTCCTGAAGAACAAAGTGAAAACAGCCATCAGTATCAGGCAGAGAGGTAGGCGCTTGCAAACAGTTACAGGTGAACGTCATCAAAAAGTAATGGCGCTCCAGTAGTCTGTTCATACTTAGCACCTTTCCCCCTTTTTCTACTCAAGCATTCACCTTTGTTTTTACCTGAAGTGCAAAAATTCTTTACAAGTTTAAGGATACTGCGTGTCACCTACCTGCACATATCTTCCTGTTCTGCAGTACAAATTTTGTGTGTACTGTTCTTAGACAATTTTAAGCTTTTAAGCAGTAAATTGCCCTCATTTAGAGTCTACCTTCCACACCCAACTACTTAGGCAGGAGTTGTGGAGGGGAGGGGGGACGGCCAAAGAACAGCACTGCAGAAACCTCAGGAGTAATGATGTGAATTCATGCAGCAAAAACTGAAAATTCAGCCAAAATCAAAGGACACCATAATTAAGTATTACACAGAAATTAGAGCCATTTCTCTATAAAACACGTGGTAGACTGCTATATATTACAAAGTTAAGCCAAAAATTATGTTTATGGCTGTTGAAGGCAATCATTAAAAGCTTTAAAAATCAAGTCTAAGGAATCTTACATAATTATATGAATATGAATGCATACTATACATATTTAACATGGAAATTTCATATTTAAACGCATAGCCCTGTCTTTTGATTTACATACCCTCTTTATTTTTTAATTCTAACTGCTACCCTCAGCTCAGTCATCTCAGATCCCTTTTTCCACCCCTCAGCAGCATCCTATAGCTTGCCAGTCACTATGGTTTCTGAAAATCTGGTCAGATCAGTTGAAAATTGGAATTCCATAGGAGATCTAAGTATTTTTTTAAAAAGATTTATTTATTTATTTATTTGAAAGCCAGAGTTACACAGAGAGAGAAGGAGAGGCAGAGAGAGAGAGAGATAGAGAGAGAGAGAGAGAAAGAGAGGTCTTCCATCCACTGGTTCACTCTCCAATTGGCAGCAATGGCTGGAGCTGCGCCAATCTGAAGCTAGGAGCCAGGAGCTTCTTCTGGGTCTCCCATCTTCTACTGCTCTCCCAGGACATAGCAGAAAGCTGGACTGGATGTGGAGCAGCCAGGACTTGAACCGGTGCCTAAATGAGATGCTGGCACTGTAGGCCGCAGCTCTACCTACTACACCACAGTGCTAGCCACAGGAGTTCTAAGTCTTGTCTCCTGTTCCTCTCTCTTTGATCATTTGTCTTCCCACTGCAGCCCCTGGTGGGTGATCTGACTCCTGGGGTACTTGCTTCATTCCTTTGGAGGCTGACCCTCCACGCCACCCCCACCCTGGGCCTTGGTACTGGACAGGAGTCTGGCCTCTCCTTCTACTCAAGCATTCACCTTTGTTTTTACCTGAAGTGCAAAAATTTTTTACAAGTTTAAGGATACTGCGTGTCACCTACCTGCACATATCTTCCTGTTCTGCAGTACAAATTTTGTGTGTACTGTTCTTAGACAATTTTAAGCTTTTAAGCAGTAAATTGCCCTCATTTAGAGTCTACCTTCCACACCCAAGTACTTAGGCAGGAGTTGGGTGCCTGGGGGCCTGCCTGTCCATGGCAACCTGAGTGATGGTGCCAAGCTTGAATGGTTTTCCCATCAGTCAGGAAACCCTGAGATTTGGGCAGCTGAGAGAAACGTTTGTGCTCACACAATCACATATTGGGACATGAATCGTAGTGACTGGTTTTAAAACTGATTTCATGAAATTTAAAGTCCGCATCATAAACCATTAAAACCATGGTGGGGGGGGAAGGAATTTCCTTTCCTATATGTCCCTTCCCCACCCCAGGTTTCATGGAAGAAATTTGCTCTTTCTGAGTTTCACAGTCACATGGCTCAACAGTGGCAGAACTAGAACCAGAACCTCACATTTCAGACTCTTGGCTCTGTGTTCTTCTAATTGGATAATGAGCCATGGTAACAGCGAGGAGGTCGGCACTCTGCCGTAGTGGGTAAAGCCGCCTCCTGCAGTGTCAGCATCCCATATATGTGCCAGTTCGAGTCCCAGCTGCTCCACTTCTGATCCAGCTCTCTGCTATGGCCTGGAAAAGCATTAGAGGATGGCCCAAGTCCTTGGGTCCCTGCACCCTTGTGGGAGACCTAGAAGAAGCTCCAGGCTCCTGGCTTCAGATCGGCCCAGCTCTGGCTACTGCTGCCATTTGGAGACTGAACCAGTGAATGAAGGAACTCTCTTTCTCTCTCTGCCTCTGCCTTTCAAATAAATAAACAAATATTTAAAAAAAAAAAAAGACTAACAGTGAGAAATTTTGCTTTCAACATTTTGCCCAACAATCATTTGAAAAACCATACATGGCAAAAGAGGTGCCAAATACTTGCATTTCTGTTGACAGTGTAGGAGGTCCAAAGGGGCATGAGGACATCATGGCTGTATCCACTCACAAACTGGTGCTGGTAAAGCAGACAGACACTGCTTTTTTTCTGGAGAAGTCTAGGTCTGCCATAGGGTAAACTCGCACGGTTAATGTTCTTCTCTGGAGTCACGGGGGAGAGGGAAATCACCGTTTAAACACAGTCAGCGGGCATTGCAAGATCTGCTACACGATGTATGTGTGTATATATAAGACAATACATAATGATACACTCACCTAACCTTTTTGTTTAATGAGATTGAACAAATATTCTAACCATACAAAAAATACAACTAATTACAAAGAGCCAAACCATAAACAGTTAACAAAACAGTGTTCACTACAATTTTTGCTATAAATATATAGAAAGAACAATTTGATAGCAAGACTATCACAAGAGGACAACATATAAAACTGCTAGAAATTTCAGATAATTAGAGCTTATATTACCAAAAACTGACAAGTACATTTTAAAGGGCTTAGTACATATCATCTAATTAATTATTACATTCCCTATGAACGAAAGTTTTCTATCTATTTTACAGAAAAGGAAACAGTGGCTCAGAGGATAAGTGCCTTTTTCATAGATGTATAGTTCCTTAATCCATAGTCAAATTCAGTTTTTCCCAGTTCTGAAAGTGTCATTCTTTACAGCACTTTGTCAAGTCAGGGATAAAATATTTCTCTAATCCTAACATTTACATGAATTAATACACAACTTATCTCTTTATCCCAGCAGAAAACAAAAGTGAGCCCAGTACCTTAACAATAAGATATTGTACCAAAGTGACTACACATCCAAGTCAGAAGTGAAAAATTTCATCAGTTTTATGCATATTCTTAATTTTTATTCAAAATGTATAAAGAAACACCTTTAGATAAATAAAGCAATTTATAACTTGCTGTACTTAACTAAGAACCAAGTGAGATAGGAACTTGGGTATTTTCAATAGAAATCTGGCTCTCCATCAAACCGATAAAAACCTTGAAAACCTCAAAACACTTCCAACATGCTCATAAAGAGTGACTCAGCTTCCACTAAATATGTGAGATGCTATTTCCACTGTAAAATAGCCCTCCTTTCCTATGACTAACAGTCTAGACTGTCAAGCAAAGAAATCTCTAGGCTTCATCAGATGGCCCACCATCATTCCCTTAATTTCATTGGTATTCTCAAATACTGCTTCCAAACCAAGTCTCTGTGGCTCACACTGTGAGAAGAAACCAGCTGCTACATTCCAAGCTGGGGAATAACAGGACCTACCTTCTGCCGTGGTCAGATTAAACTGTGTCTGAAAATCCACAATGGGCAAAATCTAGAAAAGTTTACAAAATTGTTTTTAAGAACGGAGAGACATGTTTTCATTTTATAGCATACAGCTTCTAATAGCACAAGTAATCCAACACACAACGAAGATACAATTTACAACAATCTTGTGTAAGTGAAAGTTATTTGTTTTATATTAGGAGGATAAAAGCAGAATGACATCTGCAAAAAGATAAATTGTGAGCATGAGCCTAACACTAGTAATTGAAAATAAGAATATAATTACTGCTTTATCATGCTTATTGCTATTCCAACAGTCTTCCTACAAGCCAAAATCAACTCTAAACAAAATGGAAAGCATAAGGCAAAATATTCCCCAAACTGCTATCTCGATGGATGTTATCAATTTTGTTGCCCAAACTAAGAAAAGGAAAAATAAGCAATAAGAGGCTTACATGTCCCTAGAATTAAAAACAAGCATGTTTATCATCACTCATAAACCTTTATGTGATTATTAGTTTTAGCGGGCCCTCCACATGTATGGCAGATTCAGCCAACCATGGCAAAGAAACATTTGGAAGAAAAAAAATGCTTCTGGACTGAACAAACTTTGTTTCTCGTCATTACTTTCTAACCAATACAATATATCAACTATTTAGATGGCATTTACATAATCTACAGATGACTAAGTAAATGGGGGATATGTGTAGGTTATATGTAAATATGCTGACACTTTATTTAAGGGACCTGAGCACCACAGCTTGTAGTGTCCATGGGAGTCCTGGAATCAATCTGCCATGCTACTGAGGGCCCACTGTGTTTCTGCAGCACATACTCTGGAGGGTGTGAGGCTAAACTTCTCGGCAATACTTACTGAGGGGTTGCAGGAGCAGCCAAGGCTATCTCTGGGCGATCCTGCCAAGGGGCACTGTACCGAGGGCTGCACTTCTTTAGGATGCTTAGGGGTGTAAATAGGATTCTTGAGAAGGTGATTAAGACTTCCATGTGTTCCATTATTAGGGGCTGGTGTCAAATTCAGTAAATCTGCATAATTTCAACAATGGTATACAGTTACTTAGAATTTTCAAAACCAAATAAATGGCAAATTGCTGCTGGGATTTTTTAAACCAAATATATCTCAGTGTTTTCTGCTCTTGAACTAAAATAAAATTATAAAACTCTCTTGGGTTTTATAGTATTTATGACTATGCTGTTCTTAACAGAAATACGGTATGTATGATATACTTCTCTAAAAATTTTCTGAATTTTAAGACAGGTACTATGTGGCTACTCATCTGTTGAATACAGAGTATATGCCAACCACTGTACTAATGTATTTTTCTTATTGAATCCTTGAAACAATTTAGTTATAATCAATATTTGGTAAAGAAATAAAGTGTTTTGCCCAAGGTCTCAAAGCTGCTACTAAGGTAGACTTAAAATTCAAAATCAGCATTGAGTCAGATTCATGCTCTTCATAGTAATAGCAAACACTTACGTAGCAATATATTACTACATGCTAGGTGCTGTTTTAAGTGATTTAGGATATATTAACTCATCTAAAGTTCATGGGTTCCAATTATCCTCAAGACATATTTAAGATTTTATAAACACCCTGTATCATCAGAAAAAGGAAATAATATTTAAAACTCAAAATCCTACCATCAAAGCACTACTTCAGAAGGTACAGCAAAAATCTAGAATACAGCTAACGGATTCTCCTTCATTTCTTCATCCATTCAACTATTGCCCCAGAGGCTCCAGCTTTCCCTTCCCCCAAACCTTTTCTCTGGCTTCTGTCACTGCTTTGATTCAAGAGTCTTAATTAAGCCACACTAGAGGTGTGCAGACCACCTCATTGGGCAGTCTGGTGGGAAGAAAAATTAATAATAAGATGGTATGTTCTGCATATTCTTTCAGCAACTTGGGATCAAGACAAGGACCAGTGAAAATGTGAGAGTCTGTCTTGTCCCACCATCATTTCCACAAAGGTGCCCATGTGAGCTCTATCATGGTCCTAGTCTACCTCTGCTTCCAGGAGGGATGAAAGCCATCTGTTCACACTCACCACACATTAAGTTGTAGACTTCAATGTTTTCAAAGGAGTCAACTTCAATGCCGTGCTGGAATCCAGGTCCATATCCAACAAAGAGGGCCTACATTAGCCAGAAACAGTTTATCAGGGCATTTCAGTTGTATATTATTCACATTGCACATATAAAAACTGGTTATATTAAGATAAGGGGAAAACCATCATGCCCTGCGTATGTTGTGGGGCGTCACTTTCACTCCCATTACACGTACAATCTAAGGACATCAGGATATTTCTCACAGTTTAACTGTAATTCCTGATGCCAGTCAGAACAGAATGGATGGTGTAATCTTTCTTATCTCTGAAATGAGATGTAAACTTCACCCTGCCCACTTCACACAGTGCTGCAGGGGTGAAATTAGATCATTATGGTGAATGTATTTTGAAAACTTTAAAGCGCTAGGTAAATAAATGTAAGATATTATCTGCTTTCAGAACTTAAGTATGACATCTTTTCATCTATTAAATCACTGGCTCACTGGCTTCCTCTTCTTATGATGCAATACACTTACAGGAGCACAAATATATCAAAATGAAGATGAGACATTTAGTAGGATGATTAAGTCACACATTTGTGAACTATAAATATAAAATTTTAACAAAATCCCTTAATGTCCAAAGAAAACAGATATATTAATTCTCTTTCAAGACACAAAATCAGTCCATGCTTTTAAATTTGAAATTTTTCTTCATATTACATCTTTTTTAAGAAGTATAAAAGGTTTACTCACCTGCATATTTGAAAATACATTGTCAGAGCCATGAAATCCACTTCCACAGTATTTCCTTTCTGAGGGACTCCTAATATAAATTAATAATATAAAGTTATTTTACAATGCATAACTGGTAATCATACTATTATTTTCAATAGTAAGGAAGACATAACTATATTGTTAAGCCAACATAAAGGCAACACCATTTGGCCTTGAAAATCATTAAGGGGTCGCCTCTATTTTTCACTTTGCAGAAAGATCAACTATGAACAATACAACGTGGAGTGATGGGATGAGAATGACATGAGCAACTGTCAGGGCAGACACTTGGGACAGCAGTTAACTTGGGACACTTGGGACACTGGCATCTCATTTCTGAGAGCCTGGGTCTGAGTCCTGGCTTTGCCTCCTCTTTCCAGCTCCTTGCTAATATGCACCCTGGGAGGCAGCAGGGGATGACTCACGAATTTGGATTCCTCCTACCCATGCAGAAAACCAGAATTGAATTCCTGGCTTCTGGCTATGGATTGGCTTGGTCCAGGCTCTTGTGGGCATTTGGGGAATGAACTAGTGGATGGGAGATATATATCTCTCTTCTTGCCTTTCAAATAAAATAAAGTAAATTTAAAAAAAGTTTAAAGCAACTGTGTACAATTTTATTAATTATTGGGTAGACTCTGAGGATACCATCAGACATAACTGTAATATTTAGAAGAGATGTAGGGGCCAGTGCTGTCACGTAGCAGGTAAAGCTGCTCCTGCAGTGCCAGCATCCCATATGGGCACCGGTTTGAGTCTCGGCTGCTCCACTTCTGATCCAGCTCCCTGCTAATGCACCTGGGAAAGCAGTAGATTGTGGCCCAAGTGCTTGGGTCCCTGCACCCATGTGGGAGACCTGGAAGAAGCTCCTGGCTCCTGGCTTCAGATCGGCTCAGTTCTGGCTGTTGCAGCCATCTGAGGAGTGAACCAGTATGGAAGACATCTCTCTCTCTCTCCTTCTCTCTCTCTTCCTCTCTCTCTTCTTCTCTCTCTTCCTCTCTGTAACTCTGCCTTTCAAGTAAATAAATAAATCTTAAAAAGAGAGAGAGAGAGAGATGTAATCACAAGTGGTAACATGTAAGTATAGACCATAAGAAATTATTAGTACAGATGTAGAAGGCCAGAACGAGTTCCTAGCTGTGTGCGATCCCCACAACCCAACTCAACTCGATTTATGTCAATATCTGGAGATGTTTTCTAGAGAAACAGTGGTACTTTTATCTATTAGGGGGAAAACCCGGGGTCTGTCAAAGATTCCACAATGTACAAGACAGTTTCCATAGCAAAGACAGTTGGTAAAAAGAATTGTATTCATACAGTTTTCACATACAACACCATGAGAAGGGGCCCAATGGTTACCTTGAATTTCTAACCAATCAGGCAAAAGTTACCTAGGAGACTATCAGAACTTACAGTGCCAGCTGCCACTGAGGGTCCAAATAGAATGTCAAGGGCTCAATTCTGTCACTTTTTGCAAAATGCAAACGCTTAGGTAAGAAATGTTTCAGGTAAGGTTTGAAGTGCTGGTTTGGTTCCCTGCACTGAAATTGAAGTAAGCAAAGAAAAAACTATTAATTACACATTATCTAAATGTAAATTTAAAATTGCTTTATAACTCTATATGAATTTTTGCTCACAAACATTTTACTAGCCTCTCCAAAAAGTTAAAGATGAAAAAATAACTTGCATTACTTGCATAATTTATAAGATGAATATCTCAAGCTAGGTGAAATTTTTATGGGAAATGATAATTATTACTACATAAAATCCCCAGGTCTCCTAGACTTGTCACTAGATTATACTCAAATTACTACTCACAATTCTAATAGAACTACAATTGTAGGAATTTTCTTTAAGACCTAAAATATATCAAGTATAAAATGTAGTGTAGATAACTTAGCACTAGGGCATAACTTTCATGCTAAAAAAAGCAGGCATTTTTTAAAAAAGCCTCAAGAAGGTAGAATTTGGGTAGTATTTGTGTGGTACAAATACTTTTTCCTTCTAATCTTAAAAGTATTATAATATCATATAAATTTTACAGTGCCAATGAACAAACTCTTAAAAATTTTCAAACTCAGATTATTGGGACAGAATCTTCAAGTCTTTAAAATCTATATAAAGCATTTATACAATGGCCCAGATACATAAAAATTCTAATCCTATAATCCTAAGAACAGATACTGATTCTTCACTGAACTAGAAAAAAACCATGTTGGAATTCATAAGGAAGCACAAAAGACTCTCAATAGCCAAAGCAATTCTGAACAACAAAAAAATAAGGTTAAAAGCATCACAATACCAGATTTCAAGATACACTACAGAGCTACTGTAACCATAATAGCACCATACAGGCATAAAATATACATAGAAAACCAGAACAGAGATTCCAGAAATTAATCCATACATCTACAGCTAACTGATCTTTGACAAAAATGTTGAAAACATACATGGAAGAAAAGACAGCCTCTTCAATAAATAATGCCAGTAAAACTGGATATTTATATGTAAAAGACTAAAACTTGACCTCTATCTTCTTCACTCTTTGTAGTAATAAATGAAAAAGCATCAAAGATCTAAACATAAGACCTGAAATTATGCAACCACACTTGAATACATTTGCAAAGGTACTTGGATAAGATCTCAAAAGCACTAACAATAAAAGCAAAAAGACAAATGGGATTCTTTTAAAAAAAAAAGTATTTATTTACTTGAAAGGCTGAGTTACACAGCAAGAGGGAGAGACAGAGAGAGAGAGATCTTCCATCCTCTGATTGACTTTCTAAATGGCCCCAACAGCTGGGGCTGAGTCAGGTTTAAGCCAGGAGCCTGGAGCTTCTTTGGGTTTTCCCATGTGGGTGTAAAAACCCAAGCACTTGGGCCATCTTCCACTGCTTTCCCAGGTGCACTAGCAGACAGCTGGAGTGGAAGTGGAGCAGTCAGGACTCGAACCAGCACCCGTATGAGACCCTGGAATTTCAGGTGCAGGCCCATTCTCCTGTGCCACAACGCCAGCCTGACAAATGGGATTCCATCAAGCTAAGAAGCTTCTTCACAACAAAAGCAAAACCAACAGAGTGAAGGGACAATTGACAGAATGAGATAAAATATTTGCAAACTCTGACAAAGGATTACCATCCAGAATATATAAAGAACTCAAAATATCAACAACAGTGGCTGGTGTGGAGGTGCAGCAGATTAAGCTGCCACCTGCTACACCAGTGGTCCATATGGGCACTGGTTCAAGCCCTAGCTGCTCCATTCCAATCCAGCTCCCTGTTAACAAGCCTGGGAAAACAGCAGAAGATAGCCCAAGTGTTTGGGCCCCTACACCAATGTTGGAGACATGGAAGAAGCTCCTGGGGCTCCTGGCTTTGGCCTGGTCCAGTCCTTGTCATTGTAGCCATTTGGGGAGTAAACCAGAGGATGAAAGATTTCTCTCTCTCTCTCTCTGTGTCTCTTCTTCTCTTTCTGTAACTCTGACTTTGAAATAAATATCTTAAAAAAAATAAAATTTAATTTAAAAAACTCAACAACAAAAGAACTTAAATAATACACGAAAGAAATATGCAAATAGTCTGAACAGACATTTCTCAGAAGAAATTCAAACGACCTACAAATACATATAAAAGTGCTCAGCTTTTCCTTCAGGGCAAAGCAAATCAAAACCACAATGAGGTGTCATCTCATTCCAGTTAGAACATCTATCATCAAAAATAACACCCTGGTGAGGATGTAGAGAAAAGGTAATCCTTCCGTACTGCTGTCGGGAATGCCGTTGAGCATAGCCAAATGGAGACCAGTATGGAGGTTCCTCAAAACACTAAAAACAGACCCACTACCTGACCCCACTATCCCACTCCTGGATATAACCAAAGGAAACTAAGTCAGTATATCAAAGAGATACCTGCTCTCCTATGTGTATTGCAGCACTATTCACAATAGGTAAGCTATGAAATCAACTTGTGTGTCCATCAGTGAATGAATGGATACAGAAAATATTGTATATATAAACAACGGAGTATAATTCAGCCATAAAGATAATAAAATCTTGATATTTACAGCAAAATGAATGAAGCTAGGTATCATTGTATTAAGAAAACTAAGTAAGATACAGTCAAATAACATATTTTCTATCTCTGGAAGTTTAAAAAAATAGTGAGTCTGAAATTAGAATCATGATTACTAGAAGTTGAGGAGGAGTAAGGGCAGACAGAGGGAGGCTGGACAACCAGTATTAAAACACAGTCAGACAGGATTAATAATTTCTAATGTTTTACAATATAGTGGTGTTACTATAATTCACAATAATGTATTATACACTATAAAAAGAATTGGAAGAGAGGAACTGGTAGGCTCTGAACACAACAAGAAGATAAGGCAACTGAAAAGCAACTTCCTGGTTTGACTGTTTAATGCTGTGCATCTATGTTGAAATACTGGACTGCCCCCATATAAATATACAAGTAAATATTATATGTTAGTTAAAAATTTTAAAAATAAAGTAAAACCATTACCAGCAAAAGAATAAACACTAAATCTTTTCTCTAAATACATGTTATACAAAACTAACAATAACTAGACAATGGAAAAATAAAGATACTCACGGAAAGATTTCTGGCAATGTTTTCATAATTAACTAAAGGGGGAAAATAGAAGAATTAGCGTTTGAATTATGCTCTGATTAAAAAAATACAGAAATAAAGAACGTGAGACTCAAATTCTACATTTAAATACCAATGAAGGTATAGAAGTCATTACATATTAGCCATTGAAAAGAGTAAGACGGAGGCCATGAAATACTGTCATACTCTTAAGTGAAAAGGCAAGCTATAGATTATCTATGTATTCAACCACATTCATTCCTCTGACTATTCATTTGCCTGTCTATCCATCCATTCATCCAAATAGGCATCTATCTATAAATCCATCTAAATCTAGTATGGTTATGCTTTAAAAAAATAAAAACTATGTGTTTAATATATGCACAGCAAATATCTGAGAAGGTACATTCCTAACTTAAAAGAGCTTATCTCTAGAGAAGGGAACTGAGTTTTGAAGCAGAAGAACACAGGAAAGTGTTACTTTTCACTTTGCTTACTTTAATATTCCAGAATTGATAATTCCAGAATTTCAAAACAACAGAGGCACAGGAAAACTTAGCATCTGAGAAAACAGCTTTAAAACTGAATTTCCATAGTTAGCCCATGAATCTAGTGTTTATGCCATAAATCAATAACCATCTAGCTTTTTAAATTTTTTAGCTATACTTTACGTAAACTTGACAAATTATCCATATAAAATATATGTATATATGTAGATTATGTGTATTATGTATTATAATATTATATACATTCTACTTTATATGAAATTTCTATAAATTTATATAAAATATAAATTATATAATTATGTATAGATAATAAGTTATGATATACAATTATATATTATATACATGATATGTAATATAAGTTTCTGATTTAATCTGGGGGCTTATTTGAGATAAAGATGCCTAAGCTCATCCACTGTACTCCAATCATCCTTGGGGCCTCCCATTGCCTTTACAATTTTTACACACATATCATAAAAACCAGGTACTATTTTTCTAAATTAAAAAATACTAATGAAAATTTGTCACTGTTCATCCAGTAACTGTGCTTTGTCACTGTGGATATATTTGCATAACTATTTCTACAGTAAAAATCTATTTTTCTTCATTAATATTCAATAGTATACACTGAAACATATCTCATTGCAGAATATATCTTATTGCAGAACCTAAATTCCAATCCAATTCTGGTAACCGTCAGATAAAGCTTCTTTCTTTCAGAGTTTTTTGTAACATAAAGATAAACAAAACTTGCTCTTACTATCGAAAGCTATCAAGGCTAGTACTCAAAAAGAGAGGTAGCAGAGGTCAAAACAGTTATGAAACAGGCTTGACTTGCAAAAGAAGGAATATCTTTTAAAAATATCTTGGATAGGGCTGGTGTTGTATTGCAGTGGGTTAAGCCTCTGCCTGCAACACTGGCATTAATTTGGGTGCCTGTTTAACTTTCAGCTGTTCTATTTCCTATCAAGATCTCTCTCTCTCTCTCTCTCTCCCTCCCTCCCTCCCTCCCTCCCCCCCACCCTCTGTTTCCCTCTTACTCTGTAATTCTGCCTTTCAAATAAATAGATAAATCTAAAAAAAAAAAAGTAAAAATATTGTGGTACTGGACTGCTGTGACAGCTCAAGACAGATTATGAAATTTCTTTTCCTTTCCTATTTAAAATATGTAATTTTTCTTGGAAAGACTGTTCTTTGGAATCAACTATTAGAGAATTAATGATCTCTGCCAGCATTCTCCTCAAAACAGAATATTATTCTAAACTAAAGTAAGTCATTTTAATGGAATGTCATTAATCAAATGTTCATAAAGGCTGCTCAATTTTTCTCTTACACTTTTTTCCTAGAATAAACTTAAGCCAGTACAAGTAAAATACCCCACAACATGGAATTGTATTAAGATCATCAAATAATATGGTTAGTATACAAGCAGCAAGTAACTAGGCAGACTTGTGTGCTCACATCTAATCCCATAAAATCTCTTTGAGTTTAAAAATCTACACTGGAGATTTAACCACTAAAAGGAAATTAACTTGGATTCCCATAAATTTAGAAGCACAATGATATGGAGAATCACAATAGGACAGCCAAAGTTACCACACAGATAGACTTACATGAATAGTATTTCTCAGGAACATCAGAGGGTCTCAATCGGGCTGCAGGTCCATAGATAACTTTAATATTTTTAGTATCTCCCAAATATTTATTCAGATATATATACTTCTTACAGCTGCCTTGTTCCATGCCTAGAAAGTTAAAAAAAAATCCCAAAATATGTGGCCACTTTAACAAAAAATTAATAGCTACAGCAGTATTTCTTTCATTTCCAGAATTTTAATTATTAACGGGGGCTCAAGGCTCATATTAGTTGAACATCGATCAGTATGACCCAGAATTTCAGCTAGATCCACCACTTTCTTGTTTTTCTATATTTCTCCTTCTTCCACTCAAAATTAGTTAATGTTTCTTCTTACTAATGTATTACAATACCATTATGAAAGTACAGAGGAAGTCACACAGTTTCAAACAGATTATGAAAGCCCAGTTGCGTGCTCCAAGTCACCTATATTAACCGACATCATGTCAGTCTTGTTCCAGAACTGAAGCTGCTTTATCACATAACTTCTTAGGACTGTATCTAAAAACAGGATTCTACAATTATTTCTGAATCTACAAAGGACAAAAGCAACCTGCTTCCTACTTTCTTGTATGCACACCACTTCCATAGTCCCAGAGCTTCACACAAACAGGTTTGCAAAAATCGCAGAAGGGACTGGCATTCTGGTGCAGCAGGTTAAGATGGCCCCCATGACACTGGCATCCCATATCACTGGGCAGGTTTGAGTCCTGGCTGCTCTGTTTTCAATCCAGCTCCCTGCTAATACGCCTGGCAAAGCCAGCAGATGACAGTCTGAGTACTTGGGCCCTTGCACCCACGTCAGGGATCAAGTGTCACGTGCCTGGCTTCTGGCTTTGCCCTGCCCAATCCAGCTGTTGCAACATTTTAGGGAGTGAGCCAATAGTTGGGAGACTTCTCTCTCTCCCTCTGTCCCTCTCATTCTGCCTTTCAAATAAATAAGTTGTTAAAATCACGGGAAAATAAAATTAAATGAAAATATCAAAATTAATATAAACTGATAATATACTGCATTTTAGGTTAGATTTAGCAGGCTAAAAAATTCAAGAGTAATAATAATTTATTTCAATTAAATCTAAAATTACAGACTTAGCAAAATTTAATGTGGAAAAAAATTGAACTATTCCTTTCCCAACTTAGAATAGCAGTGTATTGCAGTTGACAGGCTCCTATGTTTTCTGGGAATTCTGCCTCATTCACATTTTATATTTAAAATAACTTTTTCCTTAAGATTTTCCATAAGAAGCTACATTTTTAAAAAATAATTAGGGGCTGCTGCTATGACATGAGTGGGTTAAGCCACCTACAACATCAGCATCTCATATGGGAGCAGGTTTGACTCCTGGCTGCTCCACATCCAATTCAGCTCCCTGCTAATGAGCCTGGGAAAGCAGCAGAAGATGGCCCAAGTGCTTGGGCTACTGTACCCTTATGGGAGACTTGGATGAAGCTCCTGGCTCCTGGCTTCAGCCTGGCCCAGCCCTGGCTGTTGTGGCCATTTGTGGAGTGAACCAGCAGATAGAAGATTCTCTCTCTCGCTCTCTCTCTCGCTCTCACTCTCTGCCTTCTCTCTCTCAATAACTCTGCCTTTCAATAACGAAATCTTTCTTTAAAAAATTAACTAATATTCAGAGGAAATCATGAAGCAAAAATCAATCAAGCAAACTTTTGGCACTATTTAACCTAAAGAGCAAATGTTGCATACTCAGATTACCATGATCTGAAATGAGGATGAGGTTCAGACACTGATGCAAGTTCAGCTCTTTCAGGCCATCCATCAGCATGCCCACCATGTTGTCCACTCTCTGCAAGGCCTTGATGACCTGAGAAAAGGAAGTAATTTCATGGGATGCATTCCACAATAACTATTTCTATAAAAGCTATCACTGGTCAGAAAGAAAAAGCTCAGTGGATGCAACTGTGATGAATGAATTCACATGAGACTAAAACTGAGGATCAAAGACATGAAGAGCAGTAAATAATGGCTGACCATGAACAGTAGAAGAGCCCAACTCCTAGACATGAGAAATGCCAGTCTCTGATCTAATTAGCACTCCTTCAATGAGTGGAATGCAATCACTTAGTACAGATTCCATACAAGCCAATATAACATCAGCTCCAACCCACAATGCTTGACCAGAAGTGAAATTATTCTTAATTATTACTTTCCTTTGTACAATTAGTTTCTTCTTCCACTTTCTGATCATTTAAATGGTCATTAATAAAGAACAATGCTTCTTAATTTATAAAATCATTAACTGTTAAAATGCTTTCTAACAGGTCTATTACTTAATTTTTTAATGTAGAGCTCTCAGGGATACAACCTATTACTTCCTTACAAATTCCATGTATTTTGTATATGAATATTACAAGGATACAGCATGGCAAATGGTTCTGGCAAACAGTTTTCCGGCATTTTTCTTCTCTCCTTACAAAATCAGCTGAAAAACATTCTTGTTCAACTTTGTGTTTTTTCTTTAATGTAACAAATCAGTTTAATCTTCACTTGTAGTCAGAATATTTCACTCTGAGATTTCTAAGTTCTTTTTAATATGATGTTTCATCTACCCAAAATATAAAATACAAGAATTGGAACTTTTAAGTATTAAGATAAAGTGGGTTTTGAAATGTCAGTAATATTAGAATTTCACAGAGTTTACAGATTGGTGAGTAGTATTTGTAAAGCAGTGGGTTCAGTCCTGAATGAAGAAGCGTTAGGAAAGCAGGTACTTAAGAAAATCACTAGTGAATTAGAAAACACTGCACAAATTTTAAAATTTATATGACCTGATAATCAAACAACAAAATGATCCTTAAATCTTTTTGCAGCCAAACTGATCTAGATATGTGTTTTAGATGTCAATGACTACAGGGAAAGTAAAAACAGCAGCACCTTGTCAACCGTTCCAACCAGGACAACCCCTGCGAGAAACTTTTCCCTTTGACCAGTTACGACCTGGCCTCATTGTTGGCCACGCATCTTCCTTACCACACCTCTAAAAAGGGACATTTGTGCTTCACTGAGGGACCAAAGAAAGCAAGGAAGTGTGAGGTCACTGATTACAGCGGAGCTGCTGGAGACAGATTTGGAGGGACAAAACACACAGTGTAGAACAGGCCCACGTGAGGGTCAGCTTGCCTCCCTCTTCACTCTCTTCTATGTGAAATAGAAGCAATCACAGCTGTGCCTATTGCTCTCTCTTACTCTGTTGTTGCTAAAGTGACCAAGTAGCACCTTCAAATCAGGGCTCTCCATAAACATATCAGGCTACACTTTCATCTCAGGAGTCCTTGAGGCTCACAAACCATCCAGCTTGGCTCCCTGGGCAGAACTGATAGGAATCTGCGGTAAAGCTCAGGTTAAGGAGGTGTTTGTAATCTTTGGTCCCTTGGAATCAAAGGAGGAAGAAATTACTAGACAAGGATTCTGGATGATTCTACCAATGCCTCTCATCCCTTTTACCATGATGGATAATATTCATAGGGCCTTAAATTTTTTGTCTTTCGAATCTTAGGTCACAGACAAAATATTTGCCAGGAAGAAATCAACTTAGAAGTGCAAAGAAGCTCAAATCATTTTCTCTTCTAATGTTTCCTGCACTCTGAAATACAAGTGATACAGCTACCTGAACAGTAAAAGAAACATGTGTTGTTTTAAAGCCCTGTGCAAATTACAAAGCTAGGGCCTAAGTTCCTCAAAGGTTGACAGGTCAAACACGATTTTACATTGAGTGCTAGGGTCCATGAGCTGTTTTTCTATCTCGACCTTCCTAGTAACCACTAAATAAGAAGTGATTATTTGAGTATTTCTGTACTCCTCATAAAATTCCCTATCCTTTGATGATCCTTTAAGCATGCTCTCAAGCGGCCAGACTTATCTCCTAAGAGAGATAAATGTTTTTCTGCTATGCCACTAATAACACTATTTTCACTGAATTTGGAGTGGTACTTGTTTATAAAATTTTCAAAAAGCTCTTAGGTTTTAGCCCAAAGAAGGAGGAAATGGAATAGTTAAAGGCTTTGGAATTGAAAATATGCAAATTAATACATCATTAGTTCCATTTAGCACTGTGAAAATGGTTAGCAAAACAATTCTTCCAACTCTTATTTTGAGTGCATTCTTTAGTTTCTAAATCATGCCTAGTAGTCTACAGAAATCACAGAATCTTACAGAATGGTCTCAAAATCTGCCTCAAAGCAAGGTTCAGTTAGCTGATGCTAGGTTTAATGAAGGAGTCACTGATAAAAAAAGGTACTTACTTCACTGCTGACTGGTCCATATGAATGACCTGAAGAATCTGGTTCTTCTAAATACAGAGTGTAAAAGTGTGGTCTAAATCAAACAGTACCAAAATGTAATATTTTACGAACACATTGAAAAACAGAGTGGAAAGAATAATTCAACAACTGACAGTGATTAAAAATTCTACAACACGGGGATAACATTCTTTAAAATGTGTAATGGTTCACTAAAGAGTTAATTTGGATCTAAAACATCATAGTTAATAACAAAGTTTTGGTGTAGTCTATTTTAATGCACCAAGTAACATCCATACAACAAAGGAGCATTTAAAATTGAAATTAATTGTCTACATACCTTTCATCTTTAGGAAGCCGTAACCACTTAAGAATAGCTAAAATTCTTTCTTCAAATGGCACTGAACTGAAATGAAGGATAAACACAATGAAAAAAATATATAGAATCATTGTTTGGATTTTAAATGTATTTTTCTTACTGATGATAGGATTGAGAGAAATAAGTCAGCACATCTATTGTGTTTTAAAGTCATGGAAGAGTTCATGGAGAAGTTTCATTTGAATGCATAAATTTATTTTCCCAATTAAAAAACATTAAGTTTTTATACCAATTTTGTAATGGTGCTTAAACAATTGCTTCTTATGCCCTACTTGAAGATACTATTCATGCACCTGAGAATCACCACTGCATGCCACATGTTAATACATTCTATAAAGGGCACCTCATAAGGAACTCACTCACTGATGACTTAGCGCAACAGGGAAGTTGGCACCTGATGAGCAGGTAACAGTCCTCTAGGCAATGTTTGTTATGCAGAATCAGTTCCCTCCATCAGAGCACTTGCCCAATCCAATTACAGGTGGCACAGCTAATAGATCTGTTCTCTATAAGATCTTGAAAAGCTCAACACCTGATATCACTAATATTTCAGTATGTAGTACAGTACATGACATCTAAAATATCATTAACCATCTCAATTTCTTTTTTTAAATATTTATGTATTCATATGAAAGGCAGAGTTACAGAGAGGCAGAGCTGGCAGATGCAGAGAGGTCTCCCATCTGCCTGTTTATACCCTAAATGGCAGCAATGGCCAGAGCTGGGCAGATCTGAAGCCAGGAGCCAGAAGCTTCCTCCAGATCTCCCACACGGGTGTAGGGGCCCAAGGACTTGGGTCATCTTCCATTGCCTTTCCAGGCCATAAAAGACCTAGACCGGAAGTGGAACAGCCAGGTCTTGAACCAGCTCCCACATGGGGTGCCAACACCACAGAGGCAGCTTTTATCAGCTATGCCACAGAACTGGACCCAACCATCTCAATTTCATCAGTGGAATGAAAACAATGCTCAATAATAAGGTGGGATAGATGCACTGCAGTGTTTTCATGTGAACCAGAATATAATAGAGTATAAGACTAGTAAAGAAAATTGAAATATGCTGTTATATCAATTTTGCAATAGGAATTTTACTAGTATAAAATAAAATTATTTTGGTAGTCTCACTAAAATCAGCCACATGGAGTCTTCCTTATAAGTTTTTGTTTTTCCTGAATACATAACAGATTTTGAATATTACAAGGAGGTTATTCTGATAAGTTTCTTACATTAGAAAACATTTATTAAAGTAATTTAGAGGGACAGGCACTGTGATGCATTGGTGGGTTAAGCTGCTGCTTGGAATACAGGCATCTCATCAGGATGCCTTGGATTGAGTCCCACCTCCACTTCTGGATCCAGGTTTCAGCTAATGCACCTGGGAGGCAGCAGATGATGGCCCAAGTACTTGAGTCCCTTGGAAACCCAGATGGAGTTCATGCCTCCTAGCTTCGGCCTGGTCCAGCCCTTGCTACGTGGGGCATATGGAGAGTGAACCAGCGGATGGAACACCTCTCTCTCTCTCTCTCTCCCCTCTTCTACCATTCTTTTCTGTCACTGTCTTTCAAATAAGTAAAAATAAACTTTAAAAACTATCTAGAAATGGAAATCCAGAGGTGTCATTAATATTTAAGCAATATTTTCAGACACCAAGAGTTAACTGTCTTACTTAATACATCCTCAATACATCCCCTCCTCTTCATATCTCTTTTTCTTCCTAGAGTTAAAATAGGCAGCGCTTCCACTTTCAGATCTTTCTTTCTACCATAACCTCATCTACTGTTCTTGCCCAAAGAGCCTAACACAACATGTCATCAGTGTTTCTAAGAAACACTTGTCTAGTTTTGTTGTCTATTTACCATCTACCCAAAACTCAGTTAGAAATCTTATTCTGAGAATCTGCATTTTTCAGCCAATGTATCACTGAAAAGGTGGAACTCAGAACTTGATAAAAAGGACAGCATGAGATAAAAATACGCTGTTGTACATTACAGGACCCAGAAAAATTCATCTACACATACCCATTGTATATTTTGTAGATGTCTGGGAAAATCCCATTAATTTTCACATCTGATCCTGGCCAAAAGAAAGTGCCAGACCTCAGGCCTTGATACTTCGCTGTGAGCCAAATCTGGGGAAGATAATGAAGGGAAGTTAGGAAATCATGCAAGCATGAGCCTCCTAGGGAAGCATGTGCTCATGCAACGCCCATGCATTCTTCTCAGATGCTAGAATGCTTCCAAGGGCAGCAAGTTCCAACACTTAGATAATAACAAGCTCGTAATATGACTGCAGCAAAAAGAAATTAAATAATCAGACATTAAATTCACCTCAAATAAGATGGACACAAATCTGTTGCCAACTTTGAATGAAGAAAAGTTGACAAATACATGTCTTTAATTTATTGATGACAGCTTTGCTTTTTTTTTTTTTTTTTTTTGAAAACAGCTGACTTTATTTTTTGTGAGTGATAAAATTTTATAAAATACGTGATCTTGGCAATATCTCAATAATTAAGCACTTTATATGAGGTTGGAAATGTTACTAATCAATGTGATTTTTTTTTATCTTTTATTTAATGAATATAAATTTCCAAAGTACGACTCATGTGTTACAATGGCTTCCCCCCCCATACCGTCCCTCCCACCCAGAACCCCCCCCCCTTCCCGTCCCTCGCCGCCTGAATTCATGGGAAGATTCATTTTTCGATGTACTTAATATATAGAAGATCAGCCTAGCATACCTTAAGTAAGTATTTCAACAGTTTGCTCCCACACAGAAACATAAAGTGAAAAATAATAGATGATTTTTTAAATGATGATGAAATCAGATCAGACCTATTGTCATGTTTAATCCCAGTGAGAGTCAAGTTGGGAATTGATAATTTTTTTTTTTTTACAGAAGATCAGTTTAGTGTACATTAAGTAAAGATTTCAATCGTTTGCACCCCCATAGAAACACAAAGTGAAATATACTGTTTGAGTACTCGTTATAGCATTAAGCCTCAGTGTACAGCACGTTAAGGACAGAGATCCTACATGAGGAGTAAGTGCACAGTGACTCCTGCCGTTGACTTCACAAATTGACACTCCTGTTTATGGCATCAGTAATCTCCCTATGCACCAGTTATGAGTTTCCAAGGCTATGGAAGCCCCCTGAGTTCTCCGACTCTTATCTTGTTTAGACACGGTCATAGTCAAAGTGGAGGTTCTCTCCTCCCTTCAGAGAAAGGCACCTCCCTCTTTGAAGACCTGTTCTTTCCACTGGGATCTCACTCACAGAGATCTTTTTGCCAGAGTGTCTTGGTTTTCCATGCCTGAAATACTCTCATGGGCTTTTCAGCCAGATCCGAGTACCTTCAGGGCTGATTCTGAGGCCAGAGTGCTATTTAGGACATCCGCCATTCTATGAGTCTGCTGAGCATCTCACTTCCCATGCTGGACCACTCTCCCCTTTATCCATTCTATCGGTTGGTGTCAGCAGATACTAGACTTGCCCATGTGCTCCCCTTGACTCTCAGTCCTTTCATTATGATCAATTGTGGACTGAAATTGATCACCTGGAATAGCGAGATGGCATTGGCACATGCCACCTTGATGGGATTGAATTGGAATCCCCTGGTATGTTTTCAACTCTACCAATTGGGGCAAGTCAGCCCGAGCATGCCCCAAATTACACATCTCTTCCCTCTCTTATTCCCACTCTTACGTTCAACAGGGATCACATTTCAGTTAATTTTCAACACTCAAGAATAACTGTGTGATAATTACAGAATTAAACCAGGATGACAGCTTTGCTTTTGTAACTATCATTTGTTAAGTATTTATTCCAATCACAGTTCTAATTAATATTTCTGAAATAGTATACATAATTAATTTATATGATCCTCACAATAACCCTATGACATAGTTAGTACTGAGGCACAGAAAGAATGATCTGTCCAAATTCATACAATATCAGAACTAAAATTTGACTTCATAACCTGCAAATTAACATTATGCTCTTTATCCTTCTCAGAGGAATGTCAAGGTTATCCAAATAGACCCTATGTAATTACTGTGGCAATCTGAAAAAATAAAAAGGAGAATGCATCTAAAATCACCATCAGAAAGAACCTCTATGTTAGCACATATGCAAATAAAGCCAAGGTTCATCTCTTCCAAAACAAAGTAGCTTTGTGGAGATCTAAACTATCACACAGACACCCAGACTACTGCTCTATGCTAATATCACAAGAAGGAAGAATCAAGCAGAGAAGAAAAAGGACTCAATACAACTCAAATCCATCTCTGAAACAAATCACTCTCATTTTGTGCAAACAATTTATATTTGGGATTATTATCATTCACCTCCATTTAGGAAAGGTGTCCACATATACAGGCAATGAACTAGGTTATCATTAGCTACAGGAAGTCTAATTATTTTATTCTGACTGAAATAGATAAGAATAATAAATATAAACTACTTTAGTAGATAAAACAAAAAAAAAAAACTCACTGGCTCTCCTTTGTACCACTCAGGATTAAATTTCTCTTTACTTTTCAGTGAAAAGGAAGCATTCATTTTGGGATCATACATTTTATTGTCAATTATGCCATGGGATTCTGGATAAAGTCCCTAAAAAAGATAAAATACAGATTTTATGCAAATCATGAGTTACTTACTGTTAAATAAAGTCACAGCATAAAACTACAACACAGAAATTGATAACCAAAGATGAAATTAATTATAATAAAGTTTAAGGAGAGAAGAACAACAAAATGGGTGTTGTCAAGAAATAATCCACCACTGAAGATTTTACACAGTATTTTTGTTCTATATTTTTTTATAGCCAGCAATGTTTCAACGTTACATATACTATCGTTAAGGCACATCTGATGATCTATTTTATAACACAATAGGTGTCAAAGTATGGTCAACATATGGATTCTTCAGGATCCCACCCCTTCCTGAATTCCAAATGGAAGAACTGAAAGTGCAATGTAAAGACGGGCAATCCATACTCTGCCTCTGGTGAGCTTGTTCCAGCACTACTGTAAATGTAAGGTAAAAGAACTGTAAACTAGGAACTTCTTCAATTTATGAAACACCATTCAGGACTGCTGCTTCTTGAGTGTTTTCTTCTTTTTCAGATATTAATCTCTTCCTCCCCTGGAGTACGTTGTAGCTTAGGAATGTCAGCGCCAGAAGCAGTATTCGGGCCATTTCCTTCCTCTTCTGAAGGACCCTGCTCTTCAATCACATCTTCTGCCTAGACCACTTTCATTAACTGAAGCTGTATCAGAATCAGTCACTCCATCCATCAGAACAGCATCTTCATCAGTCCTTCCTCTGGGAGACCACCTACTACGGTTAGTACAGAACTGATGGAGGACCTGCCACCACATGGTCACCATGACCTTGACTCCCTGAAACACTTCTGCCTCTTCTTCCTGGGCATCTCCTGCTGTCACACTGATGTTGGCTCTCTCGATCATCTTCTCCGCGCAATGACCAAGCACTCAGCTCATTTGTACATTCAGATTCTATTTCTGAGAGGTTAGACAGCTCAGAATTTGTACCATAACCGGAGGTGTAATTAGCGCCCCAACAACCTCTGCCTCTTCCACTACAAGACCTAGAACCAATCTGTGATAGTTGTTCACCAGTCTGTAGGCATTCCATTAACTATTCCTTCAGAGAAACAATATTATTCCCTAAAAGAACCCGCACATTTCCCATGCTTTCTTGAGTGCCAACAAACACAAATGGAACCATTCCATCTTCTCTAGTTAGTTTGTTTTCATTGTCCCTTCAATTCTCACCCAAACCACACCCGATTTGCTCACTATTTCTTAAGTAACTTAGCCATTTTTTTCCAATTACTTTTCCAAAGAGGTTCCTAGGAACCTGAATAAGGTCCTCCACAAATTCCAAGAAACTTCTAACCTTTTTCACAGCATCAGCACTCTCTCCATAGATTCTAAATGTTCCAATACCTTCCTCTAGCTCAACAGCTGTGACTCCAGGAACCTTCTTAGTTTGCTGTATGTTACTACCATGTTCCTATTGCCAGGCCAATTAAATCTTCTCTCACAACAAATTCTTCATGCAAAGCTGCTGCAAGTTGTTTTGTGCATTCTAAATACTTAGTGGTTTCTTCACTTCTGGATGTAAGTACCAGCTTCATACGAATACTTCGCAAATGCATTTCACTTAAAATATTTACTCTCTTCACAGTTGCTTCGCTGGCAGGCAGTATCATTAGTTGTGTGGTTACTGGTTGGTAAAAAATTCTGCACTCTTCTACTGCTTTCTTAAAATCTTTACATGCATTTTCCTTAGCACTCGCCTCTCTCAAATCCTAAGGAACACCCATCATGCTTTTAAAGAAGGTATTTTTTTGACAGTTTTATTTTGATTGACAGGCTGAAGTCATTTAAATGTTACCATTTCACTGTAAGTGGCATCACAAGCAGCATATTCAATGACATAAAACTCTCCTTTCATCATCCAAATTTTGGCCAACTACCATCCACATGATTCTTGGTCATTTACTCCAGAAATACCTCTACTTCATCCCCAACACTAATTTCTTTTTTTTCTTTTTTTTCTTTTTTGACAGGCAGAGTGGACAGTGAGAGAGAGAGACAGAGAGAAAGGTCTTCCTTTGTCGTTGGTTCACCTTCCAATGGCCGGCGCGGCCGGCGCGCTGTGGCCAGCGCACCGCGCTGATCCGATGGCAGGACCCAGGTACTTATCCTGGTCTCCCATGGGGTACAGGGCCCAAGCACTTGGACCATCCTCCACTGCACTCCCTGGCCACAACAGAGAGCTGGCCTGGAAGAGGGGCAACCGGGACAGAATCCGGCGCCCCGACCGGGACTAGAACCCGGTGTGCCGGCGCCGCAAGGCAGAGGATTAGCCTATTGAGCCGCAGCGCCGGCCAATTTCTTTTTTTATATTAGCAGTAGTGCTAATCTAACTCCATTAAATAGAACCTGGTGCTCTGGTTGCCAATGATTTTCAAAAACAATGGTGAGGAAGTCTTCATGAACATCTTTGATAAATCCCTTGTAGAAAGTCCCCTTGGAACTGAGAACCTCCAACCTGAGTGCCACCATGTTGGAACTGTGATTGTTTTAAATTTACAGCAACAAAAGTAATTCAGAAATGATATATATGAAATTCTACATAAATAGGTAGTCTCCCAAATTTTGAAAAAAAAAAAAATATTGTTGTCTTTTTGCATTGCCAAGAAGCAACTCCTCTTTGAGTCCAATAATAGCTTTCATCAACACAAGCTAGCACACGCTTTGGGTTTCAAATTAAATCTGGAAAGTTTGATCAAAGCAAAAGAGGACTGTAATCCAATCTGGAGTAAGGCAGAGTGATTTGCTCAAACAGCATCAAAATGATTGGAAACACAAGCTGAGGGGACAGTTTTTTGGCTCAAATAAAATGTTATAAAATTCATGAAAAAAAAAAAAAAAAGGATGCAGGAACCAGAGAATCTTCATACTGAAGAGAAACCAAGAAATCATTTTGAGGTCTTCAGCTTCTGCTTTTTTCATATGAGAAAATGGACACCCTGTAGATAACACCCTGTAGATAAACTGACCATTCCAAGATCAGAGCTTGCAAATATCAGAAACTAGATTTCCTTGCTTAATTACACTTTGAAAAGAAAGTTACTTTTTTCAGATCCAAAAATCTAATTATTTTCTCAAAAAAAAAATGTTGCCATTGCATCTCACTACTGTGAACAGACAAAAGTTGGAAATCAGAGCTTACTGTGACAATGCTGTAGTGATTGGGAAAGGTTTTTGTTGGGTATACTGGTCTCATGTTTTTTGCATATGTTCCACATTTTTCTAGAAGGGAAAAAAAGGAAGCATCATTAGAAAACACATCAGACAATCTGCCTGCCCCATTTAGCCTTGGTATTGCAGCAGCCTAAATCATGTACAAAAATTAGCCCAGGAAAGATTTATAACCAGATACAACTCAGGATGAATTTTAAAGCAACACTCTGGATCCAAATTCTTAACTACATGAGTTAATTTTTCTTTGAGTCAGAAAAACATTGGACAAAATAATAATTAAAACAATATAATAGCTACCCCATACATATCAATCACATTACATTCAAGACGGGCAACTTCTAATAACTTGATGTTTGCTAGGTCTTTGATACTACTTGGTGGTCAAATACTTAAATTATAAGACAGTTGAAAAAACAAAACACTACACTATTAGCTAAATCTGCAAACTAAAATAAGGGTAAAGTAGTAGGTGGGGTGATAGCATCCTAGGCCATAGATGCAGAAATAGCTGACCCTGGACAAACTTGGCTGCTTTAAAACCATAGGCACATTTTGGCTTCATGTGAGAGAAAGTATGGAAGTCAGGCTATTCTTACAACCCTGGTCAGTTAGCCCTGGTATCTCTCCTCCTTCCCTGCCTCTACTATTACAATATTTAATTGCCTGAAATGTCCTTGGATTGGCATGTATCTATAGATCTCATTGCTCTCCTGGCAGGCTATATTCCCAACTACCCAAAGCTAGGAGTGAGAATAACTGTACTGATATCTTTTACTCTTCATATACAGGAACCTACAGCTACTTAATTCTGAACTCAGGGAGCCAAGTTTGGTGCCATGGAGGCAAACTTTCCTCCCGGTGGTCACAGAGGGCTGGATTCACACTTCAAAGTCCTGGGCCTGCTGGTAAGAACAGAGCTTTCTCTGTGCAAAACTAAAGGCTTTCTATGCCAAATGCTTGTTTATTTAAAAATCTACTTTCTGCCAGGTAGAAATTAAAAACCAAAATTTTAAGAAGCTCTCCAGAAATTATTTTGGCACTTCATAAGATAAACATAATAAAGTACATATGCATTAATGGAGAGGGATTTTAATGTTTAAAGCAACCTCATATACCCAATTTTGATAAATATTTTAGAATTCTAGAAGGATACTAAAAATTGTTTTTATTTACTTTTATTTAATATTGAGCACTAACAATTTGCAAAGTTTAACAGTTTTTAGATCCACATATATATTTTTTTTCCTTTTTAAATAACAGTGATACAATGGACACCCATTCTGCTGACTGTTAAAGTGATTTAAAACATTGACACCATTATCAAGAAAAGACCATTCTACTATTCTATTAATAACTTATAAAACTAATCATTCAGTTAAGACATAGAATGAGTTATAGAAATTGTAAGAGTCCAATTCAATCCAAAGGATGACACAGATTACCAGGTAGGCAACTATTTTTCTGTCTGTAACACCAGTTCTGTATCAGAAATACTCTGGTTTTGAAATTATATTTTAAAATGAATACTTACAGAATGAATAAGTAAGATATTTTTCCACCAACAGAATGCAAAAGTCTAGGAAAGAATAAATATGTATAAAAATGGCCAAGGATTAAAATCCCAACCATATTATCTTTTCAGTACTTAAAGCACAGCTTCATAGCTACCATAATATTAAAAATGAGGGCCTTGTTATCAGGTTCAATTACTTGGCAATAGAGAAGCTTAGTAAAATAGTTAGGTTGTACCAGTACTTTTCCAAAAAAAGACAGCCTCTCTAGTCTATCTCACTGAAGTTGTGACGCAAAGCAGTAAACTCTGAAGTTACTCACTTAGTTTGCTAATAACAGGAAGAAGTCCACCCCAAGTGTGTAAATATTCTGCTCTGAATCCATCCAAAGAAAATAATAGTGTAGGAGGCATTTCAAATCTGGGTAATGAGAAAGAAAAAAAAAGTCTGAAGAAGCAAAAAGAAGACAAACCCAATGAAGATGCTCTCCCTCCTTGCCCAGACCAGTGAAGATTTTCCACTCTAGTCGGTCTATCACCTTGAAAAGTAACAAGCTGGGCAAGCACACTGATAGAGGATGTGTTACCTGAATTTGTATTCACAGGCATGCTTTCTTGTTTAACAGCACCCATCTATCATCAAACAGTATTTATTAGACTGCCAGACCATTTTGAGCCACCATCGAAGAAACATCATTCATGGTTCATGCCATTATAAAAGCTAGACCAAATACTACTTAAATGCAATAGGGTTTTTCCAATTTGCAGGAAAATAAATGATAATAAATAACATTTCTATTAAATTTTTACTTCCATTAATTTTTTTCTGTTTTCATTCCCATTAATTTTTTCCTGAAAAATTGACTTTCTCGTATCGTCTGTACTTGTATCTATATGCTATAGTGTATTTCTTTAAGTTTAGTATATTTAAAACATAGAAATACTTAAAATAGAAATATAAGAAATATGCACTAAGTTTAAATATACAAAGAAAGGACTCAGAGCTTGGAATGATCAAACAATGAAGTTTCACACACACACATACATACACAAATGCAGAGTTATGATGTTTTTCGCAGAAATCCAAAGATAGTGGCCAAAAACCACATATAGGACATCATCAGCAAAAGAAAATTGCTATAGATGACTGCTACGTGGCTACAGCAAAACAATCATGCTTCAGGAATTCTGTAGCTAGCACCTGGTGGCTGGCAGGGTAGTTAAGTATCACAGGAGAACCATGAAAAGATTTTCCACAGAAAGTTTACTCAGTAATTTTGTTCTTTCATCATTTAAATTTTTATTTATTTATTTATTTAACTTTATTTCAAAGACACTGGGACAGACAGACTTCCCATCACTGGTTACTTTCTGAATGTGCAACATCTGTGGCTGAGTTGGGATGAAGCCAGGATCTTGGAACTCAATCTGGATGTCCCACATGGGTGGCAGAGACCTGTGCATTTGAGCTGTCACCTGCTGCCTCCCAAGGTGCACATTGGCGAGAAGCTAGAATCTGAAGTGAATCCAGGACTTAAACTAGGCACTCTGAAATGGGATGAGGGCATTCTAAATAGAGATTTAACTGCTATACCAAATGCCAGCCTTCAGGCAGTAATTTAAAATCTAACATAAATACTTATTTGCCTTTTCAACTCTACCCTTTCCCACCTTACATATATACATGGAAGCAACCCCAATTTCTACTAACTGATATCTACTACATAGCATCCTTGGGAGACCCTACAGAATCAGGTGCACACAGTGTCCATGTTCTATATCTGCATAATACCATTTCTATTTAATGAACAGAAAAGAACTAAAGTGACTTAGTGGGCTTTTAGGTGAACGTACTGGTGTAATGACTTCCAGAATAACAAATATTCATGGCCGCCTTTTTTTCCACCAGATTCTAAAGTAAGGGTCACAACTGCAGTCATATAATATTACCAGTGCCAAGCAGATCTGGATAAAAATAATGTTTAATGAACCAGTGATTATTATGTTTCTATTCTAAACTTGGAAAAAGAAACAAAAGGTGTTTCTAAAAAGGAAAAGATTAATACGTCAGGATAGAATCTTACCCTTCTGGACACTGAGGCTCGTTTATGTTCTCACATGTTTCTTCCACCCAGCTTTTCTCACCTAAAATATTTTCAAGAAACAAAATGAGTTAAACATACTTAATAAGGACGATAACTGTGATGCTTGTGAGACACACAAAAACAAAGCAATCTTCGTTAACAGGTATGTAGACAACATAGGGATGACGCTAGAGAAGTCTAATGAATCAAGGAGCTCGTTCTGTTTCAGAAAGGGTGTTAGCTAACGAGAGGAAGGAAAAAGCGATGTCTCACTACAAGACTAAACTGCACCACAGTCAGCCCTAGGTCTCCACAGGTTCTGTGTCCACGGATTCAACCAATTGTGGATCAAAACACGAAAGCATTTCATCTGTACTGAACATGTGCTGGTTTTTTTCTTGTTGTTATTCCCAAAGCAAAACACCCATGTAAAACTCAGCCAGGACTCTGGAAGGTGCCAGGCTGCTGCAGAACCCAGGGAGCCCAGGGAACACTGACCTTGACACACAGCGCTATAGTTGATGCAGCAGTCGCCACGCTCCTTACAGTCGTCGGAACAGGCACACAGGCTTCTGGACAACCTTTTCTCACCGCACCTGAATTTGTTGCAAGTCCATATGCGTTCTAGAAACAAATAGCAACAAAATGTGTCTTATGGTTCAAAGGCAATGCAATCTAAAGGAACTCAGAATTGTCTTCTGGAGTAGAATCTGCCACCACTGCAGTCACTCGGAACTAACAGAAATAAAACATGCAGGCACCAACTGTTGTTATGTCACTAAAAAGCCAGAACTGTATCATTTTTAAAAGGTGGACAGTCATAATTATTATTATACAACTCATACGTAGAACTCAGCATCCTCAAAATTTAATCTAAATGTGACTCATTCCTGTTTCAGTATTATTCCATGTCATAAGTCAGGAAGTCCAAATCAGAGAAAAATTTCATATTCTGATAGTTTTATTTTAAAGTGTAGGTATGTAACCAAGAACATTTGCTTTAACAGGCCCATACTGAAAATATCTATATAGGTCAGGCAGCCTTTTTTTTTTTTTTTTTTTTCAGGCAGCCTTTTAAAACTTAATTTAAATGCAATTGACACTACAAAAGTTTTCAGTATACATTAAATATATGCAAATTTTTGTTATCCACTAAATGTTTAGCAAGGTAAATTAGGTGAAATAGTTTCTGTACAGAACTGTTGAAACACAAAGGCCAATGTTAAAATAGGTGCATATGCTAAATTAAGACTCATATGAATAAGGAAATCACATGCCTAAAAGACACAGAACTTTGCTTTGATCTGAGATTAATGCCCATGATGCCATCTTTTTCCCTGCACATGTTCACCTGGTTCTATACACGTCTCCTGGTAATCTAGACAGCAGTTTCCAAGGTCAACGCAGGCCACATCACAGCGACAGTTCCCGAAAGTTCTCTCAAAACAGCGACCTTTGCAACTTTTAACTAAAAATGTTGAACAACAAGTTAGATATTTCTAATAATTATAACTGCAAAGCAGTATCAGTGAATAAACCTAAGTTATATATATCAGATTCAAATACTGCTTAGAAAACACAGATAAGGTAACAATATTACCCAAGAATCCTTTCACACACACACACACACACACACAGGGACCCCAACAGAAAATAATCTTATGCACAAAGATGGCCAATGTTTTTTCTAGACACAGAAAACTTGTTTATTTTATTTATCACAAGCTCTTCTGGATCAGATAAGACTTAAATACCCATGATGTGATAAACAAAAGTCACACTAAGGGCTTATTCTGAATATTTATGTTATGAAAAAGTCAGCTTAAGCAGGAATGAATTTGCTAAAATCCAGAAATATGGGAAAAGTCTTTATAAAGTGTTTATCTAGAAGTATTTCAGAAAGAGAAAGAACATCTAATATACCTCCCTTTCTGTCTGGTAGAAAGTAATAGTATGTGTGCAGAGAACAGGTTCACCAGCACCCTGTCATCCCAAACACCCATTTCACCTGGAGATCCGGTCCAGCTCCCTCCAAAAGCCTTCCCAACTCCCCAGCCTAGGCCCAATTTCTTTTTCTCAAGCTCTTATAAAACCTGGTCCTTCCCTCCAAGCCACTCAGTTGTAACACGGTTCCTTGGTTAACATCCTGGTCTCACACCAGACTACCAATTCCCAAAGAACAAACAGCCCAGCGTACAGTGTCTCTAGCCCTAGCAGATGCTTGACGCAGAGTTGGAACTAATCAGCTTTTGCTATATCGTCAAACAGCCGATACAGAAGAAAATACTTTTCATTAAAAACAACAATTTATTGCTGAAATTCTTTGCTAGATACCTTGAGTGAAAATTAGGATGTTGGGAAACAGGAGGGGAAAAAAAGTCAAGTAAGGGACATTCAACCAAAAAGGAGAATAATCTTAGTTCTTGACTTCTCTGGTCTTCTGAACCAACAAGATACTTCCATGGAATTGAACTCTCATTTGACACTGAGAAATTAGAAAGTTTAAAAGGAGATATAATAATAACAATCATTAGGTCAGAAATAGTAACTTTCCTGGCCCAAAGCTGGGAAAACTATTGCAATAAAAGCTATTATTTGAAGTTTATTAATATATATCTCATAAATTATAAAAATATATCTTATATACTATATTGAGTGCATATTAAAATCACTATTTTCAATCCTTTATTTTTACTTTTACAAGACCATCAATCTCAGTGAATTAATTCCTGTTGAATGATAACACAATAAATACTAAAGTCTACAGCTTCTTTCTTTAGTTAAACTTAGAAACATTTGCTCTAAGTAGTTTGCTAACTAAACACATATAATTACCACATTGCATTCATTTTGGCAATACATGATAGCTTAACAATCATGAAAATGTTTTAAATGAGGAATAGTATAATTATACAATAGTTTAATAGGATAAAAACATTAACTTTCTAAAACTGACTTCCCAAGGAAAACTGTTGATGATTTTATGGGAGTAAAAAAAAAAAAAAACAAAAACAAAAACCTACCTCGGAGACAAAATAATGATTACTATAATTTACTGTATTCAGTTTGGTTATTTGTATAAATCTTGTTAGGACAGGATAGAGATCTGCACTTGATATGAAGAAAAAATACACAGAAACTTTATAATGGAACCATTGCTTTGAAACCACCGATGTCTGCAGCGTTAAAAACATTCAGAGCACATAATGATGAATTTCTGATTGTCCAGAGCCTAACTGGTTAGGTGGTAACCCCGAGGGCAGCTTCAGAACTAACTCCTTAAGGGGTAAGTATCCCAGGAGTCCTTGGAGGAAGCCAGAGAGCAAGAGCTCCAGGCACACAGCTCCAAACCTGTGTGTTTCTTTTATTATCTACTGATTTTATATTGCTTGGGGTTTTTTGTTGTTGTTGTTGTAGCCCCTCTTCCTTGTTTTGGAAATAAAGGTTTGCAAGTAAATAAAACTGTATATGGCTAAAACAGTACAAGCGCTTCAATAAGAAGGCACAAGCCAGCATGAAATTTGAAATAACTACAGGGTACCCACAGCATTAGGTGACTTAACTCAATCACATTCTGAATAAGGCACACTCACTCACACATACACAGAGAGAGTACTAATTACCTTCTTTAGCACAGCTTGGTTTCAGCCCAAATATACAACCAAGAATTGTTGTTAACACACATACCGATAATACCTAGGGGGAAAGGGAAGAAAGAAAACAAGATAATTTCAAAATCCTTTTATTTCTCCAACTGTTGCTAAACGTGCTGGTGCTTCTCTGGTCCTCATGCATGTGTTGGTCATATGGCCGTGTTCACTTTTTGAAAATTCAAACTCTACATTTGTAATTTATATACTATTTTTGAAAGTATGTTCTACTTCAACACAAAGTTGACTTAAATGTCAGCAAACGATTCTGTACACCCAAAGTTAATGCATCAGTAATTACCCAATTATGATAAGGGGATTAGGAAAAAATTCTAACAATTTAAAGACAGGAAAATCTACTTAGAGACTTTTGAGACCCAATTTCCTATGTGTTAATGCATTACAGACAGGATGAATATGAGAACATTACAAGTATATGACTCTTACCAAGTAACTACACAGGCCTAAACATAATATCCTCACATGCACTATGACAGCTTGAGTAAATGACCACTTAGCTGACTACGTCCAGAGCCCAAATGCTGGCACAAACTAGATGTGTGATTTGGCATGATCATTTAAGCTTTCCAGACATTAGTTTCATTCATCTATAAAAGACTGGACTACATGGATTTCCCATAAATTTCCTATATACAAATTTAGGAACATAGTGATACTTCCTATTCTACCCTCTCTCCCACCCTTCTTCCTCCTCCATCTCTTATTCCCATCTTTATTTTTTCCTAACATCTATTTTCATTTAACTTTATACATATAAGATTAATCCTACACTAAGTAAAGACTTCAACAAATAGTATTAAAAAAAACTGTTCCTCAACAGTCGAGACAAGAGCTATTGAAAATCACATCTTGGGGCCGGCGTTGTGGCAGAGCGGATTAACGCCCTCATCTGAAGTGCCAGCATCCTGTATGGGCGCCGGTTCTAGTTCCAGCTGCTCCTCTTCTGATCCAGCTCTCTGCTATGGCCTGGGAAAGCCATAAAAGATGGCCCAAGTCTTTGGGCTCCTGCACCTGTGTGGGGGACCTGGAAGAAGCTCTTGGCTCCTGGATTCAGATCGGCGCAGCTTCAGCCGTTGTGGCCAATTGGGGAGTGAACCGTCATGGAAGACCACTCTTTCTCTCTGCCTCTCCTCTCTCTGTGTAACTCTGACTTTCAAATAAATAAATCTTTTCTCTAAAAAAAAAAAAAAAAGAAAAAAAAAAAAAAGAAATGCATGAAGTTTGTATACCTTAAAGGGCTTCTAGGTTAAAAAAAACAATATATTGAAAATAAATAGTGAGATATAGTATGCCATTGAGATCCACAAAAATAAAATTTATTGGTTTTGCATGTAAAAAACAGAAACAATCAAAAAACATAAATTATACATAAAACTAAAATTTCATTTCTCTATAAAACTTACCTAGGATAGTTAAAATAATATATATCATCTCCTCCATCATATAACTGAGTGAGAATCTTTCTGTTGCCTTGGGAAATTGTTTTATTCCTTTCTAAGCTTAGAACAGTTTCCAGTCTTAACCTTTGCAATTTCAATATCATAAAATATCTCCAAGAGTTCCTTTTATGTGAAGTTTTGTGCCAGTGTCACTTCCTCTGGGAATCTTCATCCTTTTTCTCACAAGCACGCCCCTCCTCTATGAGAAATTTACCTTCACCAGGTTCCTCTGGTTTCATAGCCAGAGTCTACTGAACCAGGGCAGCATCAGAATTCCCACAGTTAACTATTCCATAACTCCATTCACATTCAACTGGGATTTTACTTTAAGCATTGTCACTTTTATTTTCTTCACTGTATTTTCATTCTTTAAAACCAATTCCCTTTTACAAACATCCATTTTTACTTAGTGTTACATGGAATTACCTACAGGAGACAAAGCAGCAACATAGCTACATGCTCTGCTGTATGTACATGAGTCAACTAAAAGATATACAATGGCCAGTCATTGCCAGACTTTTAAAGAAGTTATGTGATTGGTCACCAACCATATTTCACACCTGCTTTTTACACAGTGATTTGCAGACTGACGAGTTAGCAGCAATGTTTGTATTTTATGCTATTACTCACAGTTAGTATGGCCTGGTAACTGAAATCTGAACTATATAGTTAAGGGGCTGGTGTTAATTAAACTGTGGTAATCAAAATTGTTGGAGAATCATGCAAAGCTACCAATGCCTCTGCTCTCACAATTGGGTAATACAGCTATCTTAGGATGTTTATTTTAAAATTACTTGCATTCATAAAACAAACCAGAAACAAGCTAAGATCACTTTAAGGAAACTGATTTAATAAACCATGTTTTACCCATATAATGAAACAGTCTGAAAGAGCCTCAGAGACAGGTGTGTGAGAAGGCTGAAAGTAACACACACACACACACACACACACGCACAGCTGAGGTATGGCTCGAGGAAGCTGGAAGCACCTGGTGAAGAACTGTTTCAATATTGATTGTGAATAAACAGTTAAATTTTAACTACTGGTCTAAAATACACATGGTATTTACAGCTATTTATCTTCCTGTTAAACAGAACACACATGCTGATTTTTCAAAAATCACCTTCTTCATTGTTAAAAGGAAGGCACTTGGATTTACCTTTAAAAGATAATGCATAAAATGGAATTGAAACAAAAGTATGACAATAATCATTTCTCACTTTCAGTCACATCCATAAAGATTAAATTAACAATACCTCCTACACTGTTACAAAACAACCAATCAAAAAAGTCTTCTATGGGAAATGTTTTGTCAATGATTTTCAGGGCAGAGAAATACAATTCAGTTAGAATTCTCTTCACTAAGTAGTTTAATGCAAAGTGGCAAAATAAAAATCCACCATCCATTTTTATCTCTATAATAATGTGGATGTTTTTATAAATTGGTATTTTCTCTTTAAGATTTATTTATTTATTTTGACAGGCAGAGTGGACAGTGAGAGAGAGAGAGACAGAGAGAAAGGTCTTCCTTTGCCGTTGGTTCACCTTCCAATGGCCGCTGCGGCCAGCACGCTGCGGCCGGCGCACCAAGCTGATCCGATGGCAGGATCCAAGTGCTTCTCCTGGTCTCCCATGGGGTGCAGAGCCCAAGGACTTGGGCCATCCTCCACTGCACTCCCTGGCCACAGCAGAGAGCTGGCCTGAAAGAGGGGCAACCAGGACAGAATCCGGCGCCCCGACCAGGACTAGAACCTGGTGTGCTGGCACCGCAAGGCGGAGGATTAGCCTAGTGAGCCGCGTCGACAGCCCAAGATTTATTTATTTATTTGAAAATCAGAGTTACACAGAGAGAGGAGAGCCGGAGCGGGGGGAGGGGTCTTCCATCTGCTGCTTCATACCCAAGATGACAACAGCCAGAGCTGCGCCGATCCGAAGCCAGGAGCAGGAACTTCCTCAGGGTCTCCCACAGGGGTCCAGGGGCCCAAGGACTTGAGCCATCTTCCACTGCTTTCCCAGGCCACAGCAGAGAGCTGGGTCAGAAGTGGAGCAGCTGGAACATGAACCAGCGCCCATATGGGATGCTGGCAGTGCAGGCGTTGGCTTTCCCTGCTACACCACAGTGCCAGCCCCAATTTGATATTTTCTTAGAAACTACAGAAAAAATATTTTACCTCAGAAAACATGCATCTGGGAGATAACCAGTAAAAGCAGCATTGTTGGAATGTTTTGCCTCTCTGTTCAAAGAATATTGATTTGAAGTCTCCTGTTCTTCGGCTAAGTCCCTAAATCACTAGGTCTTTCGTAGAGCTTTTATAAGCCATAAGAAATAGGTACTTTAAAAAACAGTTATAATACGTTAATATTAATATCATGCATTTTATCAAACATTCATTTAAATATGAGTGCTTACTATGCACAGTCCCTGTGCAAAAACCCAGAAATACAAAGAAAGCAACTCCCATCCTTACAAAGAGTCACTAGGGGCCAGCGCCGTGGCTCACTAGGCTAATCCTCCGCCTGCGGCGCCAGCACCCCGGGTTCTAGTCCCGTTTGGGACGCTGGGTTCTAGTCCCAGTTGCTCCTCTTGTAGTCCAGCTCTCTGCTGTGGCCCTGGAGGGCAGTGGAGGATGGCCCAAGTGCTTGGGCCCTGCACCCGCATGGGAGACTGGGAGGAAGCACCTGGCTCCTGGCTTCGGATCGGCGCAGCACCAGCTGTGGCGGCCATTAGGGGATGAACCAACGGAAGGAAAACCTTTCTGTCTCTCTCACTGTCTATAACTCTCTCTGTCTCTCTCTCTCTCTCACTGTCTAACTCTGCCTATCAAAAAAACAAAAACAAAACAAAAACAAAACAAAAAAAAAAACAAAGGATCACTAGGTGGGAGGGTGAATTAACCCAGTTTAAGGAATCCAAGCTCCAGAGAGTACTGGAGCACTGGGCCTGGACCACAGAGTTAATAAGCCGCAGTTGGCAAGATCTGAAATCAGGCAGGGAGCTTGCAAAGCAAAGGAGGCAAGAGAGGGTCCAGGAGAGGCCAAAGGGGAACAGAGGCCTCAAGGCAACCAGTAGGGGGCTGCTTAGGCATTCAGCTTTGGAAGGGACACATCTGGATTGAGAGATTCTAAAAAGATTTTTGGCAACACTGTAGGAAGCCGTGGTACAAGGCCAAAGGGGAAATGAGGGCTTGGACCTGCCTGCCTCCCTTCTCCCAGGAGGTGCTCTGGGCTCCTCTCAGTCTTTGCTCACCCCCTGGTTACTGCAGACCGGACCAACCCTGCTCCATGAGATCTGCTTTGGCTGCCTCTGACTAGACGAGGCATGGATTTATTGACTCATTTCTGTATTTATTTATTCATTTCTATATTTCCCACATCTAGCAGGTGTTTTGCACATGGTCAAGTTTCAACAACTAATTACTGAAGTGAAAACAAGCAAGCTGAGATGTAATTAAACACGATTTGGAGAAGCACACAGATCTCCCAACTTTCCTCATCAGAGCTGACGAAGTCTGTTTCAGTGCTTCTGTGTCTACTTTATATAAGAAACACACACAGTAAGTACAAGAAAGCTTTATCAGGAAATGGT